AATGACGTTATTAAATATTAGCTTTTAAGTTCCTGTCTGTTAAATATCCTATGGAAAATAAGCGGGAATCACTTTAGAATTTTACAGTGCCACCATATATTTTTGCACTTTTTTTAAACCAATGTCAAAATATATGTTTTTGAATAAAAACTCCTTTTAAATATCCCAGCTTTTTGTCATAAGTAGAGAGTAAGAACGTCGATGATAAACAAAACTTGATTCTTCCTCTTAATTCACTTGATAAAGTTTTTAAATCAAATTACAGTAAGTGTGCATAAAAAATGACCTTACATACTGTTATTAAATTAAAACTGTAAATAACTTAAAAAAGTATCTATTTCATTTAATAAAGTTGTTTGAAACAAACGACCGAACTAATACGATTGGAAAATTTTTTAAACAAATGTAGTAAAAAAAAGTGTCAACTTCCTAAATTTTCAGTCAGTATGTGAACGCACGATAATTAATTTTATGGCTGTTTTTTTATATTTTAGAATACTTTTACATTCCAACAAAAAATTACCTATAAAGAAATAATGTAATTTTCGGGGTGAATGTTAAGAATATAATATTGTGGAGGAAACATCGTAGATGTTGAAAGGTACTTCTTTAGCACTTTTTAACCTTTTAAATAAACTCACAAAATAGATTTTTAATAGATTAAATTTTTCTTTAATAGTGTCCTTTTGTTTTGAGTTAAATTTTGAAAGTGTTAATATTTGGTGGATAGTATTAAAGTTGATGCCTATTTTGTACCAAAGTTTAAAATTATAAGTAAACACATTCAAAAAGAGTGTGTAACATTATACGTGAGAAATATTTTCAAATTCCTGCCTACTTTTGAAGTTTTCGCCGAAACTAAATTAACACCAGGAAAAAACGTAAGGGAATAGATATTCATTTTAGACCTGCCTAACATAGGTTTGTAAGCCTTTACAACTTTTGTGATAAAAATTGTTAAATGAAAAGTAGAAAATTATATGAGAGATTACCGTGTATTTGTTTATCTCTATCTGAAATGTTTGTTTTTTTCAAGTTTTCAGTTTGATTTTTGCATACAGTTTTACATTGGGAAGCATGTATGATTTATAATTTATTGGTTTTTAGTTTAGTTGACTAGTTTTCAGAAGTGTTGAGATCATCGTTGTCAATAAAAGCCGAAAATATGGAGAAGTCACCGTTAATATTTGTAGTCCTACCTAACATATTTTAATGTGGTAAATAAAAAAATATTTTTGATTTTGATGAGATATTTGTTATAATTTAACATTAGAACATGGAACACTGAGAACACCGAAGATATTTATATTCCTACTCTAAATGTTTATACCCTTTTAGCTATATTACCTTTTTATTATTATATTATAGATAATATGATCTTTTGGATCGCCATTGATAAATTGGAGAATTTTTTTATCTTCCTGCCTTTCTTTTAAGAGTTTTTAAATCACCGTTGATTATGGAAAGTCGAGAAAAATATGCGGGGATTACCAAGGAATTTTACAGTCCTAACCAAAATTTTCAGATCACTTTTGCTGAAATAAAGGGGAAAAATATGTGGGGGAACACCATTGATATTTATAGTCCTACCGGATTGTAGTATTTACGAGAAGATATTTATTTATAACACTTTATAAAACTTAATGATAGGGACACTATTTAAAGATCCTGCCTATTTATTACGGGGGAACAGCGTTGATATTTGTAGCCCTACCTTACATATAGTAACGAATAGAGAAGTATTTATGAACGATCATGTTTGGGAATTTTATAAACCCGACCAATGTTATATGGGAAACACCGTTGATTTTTGTAGTCCTACCTAACATGTACTAACGAGTGGAGAAGTATTTTTTTGCCTATTTTTTTTTTATCAGAAACACCATTGATTTTTATATCAGTTTATGTTTGGGATATATTTTTAGGATCCTGCCTACTTTAAATGGAAAACACCTTTGATTTTTGTAGTCCTACCTAGCATGTAGTAATGATTAGAGGATTATTTATAATAGCTTATGGCAGATTTTGTATGGAATACATTTTAAAGATCCTGCCTATTTGTATCGTGGGAACACCATTAATTTTTGTGGTCCTGCCTAATATGTAGGAACGAGTAGAGGATTTTCTATTACAATTCATGACAGATAATGTTTGGGATATATTTATAAATTCCTGCCTATTTTATATAAAAAAACACCTTTAAATTTCTTAGTCCAACCTAACGTGTAATAACGATTGGAGGAGTATTTATAAGATAATATTTGGATATATTTAAAAAATCCTGCCTATTTGATACGGAAAACGCCGTTGATTTTTGTAGTCCTACCTACCATAGTAACGAGTGGTGCAGTATTTATACCAGCTTATGACATTTTTGAGATAAATTAAACAAAATCCGGTTTATTTTTTTCGGGGGAACGCCGTTGATTTTTGAAGTCCTACCTACCATGTAGCAACGAGTGAAAAAGTATTTATACCAGTTTATAATAGTTTTGTGATAAATTAAAAAATATCCATAGGAGTATTTATGAAAGTTAATGTTTGGGATATGTGGGGTAGAAACCCTGCCTATTTTTTTTTACCAGAAACACCATTTGTAACGTGGGAACATCTAAGATGTATTTAGGAGTAAACGATTTTTTATATATGTTTGGGATATATTTTTAGGATCCTGCCTACTTTAAATGGAAAACACCTTTGAAAACACCTACCTAGCATGTAGTAACGATTATAGGATTATTTATAATAGCTTATGGCAGATTTTGTTTGGAATATATTTTAAAGAACCTGCCTATTTGTATCGTGGGAATACCATTATTTTTTATGGTCCTGCCTAATATGTAGGAACGAGTAGAGGAGTTTTTATTACAATTCAAGACAGATAGTGTTTGGGATATATTTATAAATTCCTGCCTATTTTATATAAAAAAAAACACCTTTAAATTTCTTAGTCCAACCTAACGTGTAATAACGATTGGAGGAGTATTTATAATACTCTACGAAAGATAATGTTTGGATATATTTAAAAAATCCTGCCTATTTGATACGGGAAAACGCCGTTGATTTTTGTAGTCCTACCTACCATAGTAACGAGTGGAGCAGTATTTATACCAGTTTATGACATTTTTGAGATAAATTAAACAAAATCCGGTTTATTTGTTTCGGGGGAACGATTGGTGAAAGGTAATGTTTGGGATTTTTGGCATAGAAACCCTGCCTGTAATAGTTTGTGACAAATTATGTTTAGGATATGATTGAAATCCTGCCTACTTTATATGGGAAACACCGTTGATTTTATAGTCCTACCTAACATGAAGTAACGAGTGAAGGAGTATTTATAACAAATTATGTTCGAAATATAGTTTTGAAATCCTGCCTATTTATTACGGGGTAACACCATTCATTTTTACGTCATAACTAATGTGTATTTACGAAAAGGTTATTTTTAATACAATTCATATCAGATAATTTTTGGGATTTTTTTTAAAAGTTCCTGCCTATTTTATATAAAAACAACGTTAATTTTTTGGTCCTACCTAACATGTATTAACAAGTAGAGAAGTATTTATTACAGTTATTAACAGGTAATGTTTCAAATATACGTATTTAGAAAATTCCTACCTAATTGTACGTGGGAATACCATAAATATTTGTATACCTTCCTAAGATGTATTTACGAGGGATTTTTATAACAACTTATGACAGATAATGTTGGGAAACATTTTTTTAATCTTTTATATTTGTTACGGGGAACAACGTTTTATTCTTAGTCCTGCCTAACATGTAGTAACGAGTAGAGGATTTTTATAACACTTTATGACAGATAATGTTTGGGATATACTTTTATAATCTTGCCTATTTGGTATGTAACAGGGGGAACATCATTTGTAAAAGTTTTGAGTATAGTTTTGAAATCCTGCCTATTTTATATGTGAAACACCGTCGATTTTTGTAGTCCTACCTAACACGAAGTAACGATTAGAGGAATATTTATAACCATTTATGACAGATTATGTTTTGTAGTCCTGCCTAACATATGTTTACGAGTAGGGAATTTTTTATAACAATTTGTTTGGGACATGTTTTTAAGTTCCTGCCTATTTTATATGGAAAACATCTTTGATTTTTGTAGTCCTACCTAGCATGTAAGAACGATTAGAAGGTTATTTATAATAGCTTATGGCAGATTTTGTTTGGAATATATTTTAAAGATCCTGCCTATTTGTATCAAGGGAACACCTGCTGTATGTAGGAACGAGTAGAGGAGTTTTTATGACACATATGTATATATTTTAGCATCCTTCGACACACTTTCGATAGCTTATTTTTTATGTTTCAAACCATAAAATATTCACCGTTAACCTCCGAAAAATAGACATTTAAATTTCTGAAAAAGTAAAATAACCTTGTGAACTGTTTGCAAAACTTATAAAGTTTTTACAACTTATAGTTAGGGGGTTTAGATTTGTACGTATTGTATCAATATCCAGGCGGAGACTTGCTTTGAGTAGTTTGCGACCTAATAAGTGATTTTTGTAGGTTGTATTATAAATTATTTATTAGTTCAAATATTAGTATTTTATTATATATATTGTTTTCGCGTATAAAATATTGTAGAAATTGTACCCTCCAAGTGTAAGTAATTTGGTTGATTGTTTCCAGAAAAACTTCATGTATCGACGTCCTAAAAGTGTGAAGAAAATTTATTGCGAAATATACGTACTTTTAAGCTGAGCTCTTTAGCCTTCGTATAATATTTCCGATACAAACTTTTAGCGTTTAAGTGAGATCAATGGCCCTTCCTTTTAATGCAGACACATGGTCCGATTATTCGACTTGATTTGAGAACATCATAGTAATACTTGTGTGTAAGACGTGGACTATTTGTCATGTTGGTACAAAGGACCTTCCTCCATGGGATTAATTTTGGCAACGCTACGCTTAAGCTCGATGGTATAACTGAAATCGGATCTTGGCTTGAAATAAAAAATATGACGAGCAAATGTTTCGAAATTTATTTTTGGAACTTTTGAATTTTTTATTCACTTTTTCTGTGGCTTCTTCCATTATCGAGCTCTTTTGATATTCATTTTTTGCATTTTTGTTGTGGTTGGACAAGTTAAATTACATCAGTACAGGTAATTCTTAATTCGTGAAGTGTACAAAACAAAAAATTAAAAACAGTTTCTGGTATTTAAGAACAAAAGTGACACATTGTTGGTGTGGAAGTACATAAGTATCTTCCGTATTGACTTTACAACTGAACATAAGAACAAATATAGTATTTACAACCGACTGGCGGGGTATCCGACCTTGTCGGATCGGTTTCTAATCCAGAGACGATGTGTCATTGAACGGATTCAATACGCTGCCAAGTTACGGAACTGTTCGATGATAGTAAGCAAGTGAGGGCCCATCGGTAGGTCACCGGTCACCATTCATTCACCCTTAGTGGAGCAGAGAAGTCGATACACCAGTGTTCCTATAACACAATCCGCACACTCAATCTGACCGAATCGAGCACCCTGGCTGGTCCGCGACCTTTTGACATTGGATATATACGGATACGGGTATTTAATCCCAGTCGAGGTCGCAGACGCAGCTTTCGAAAAACGCTGCAATCGGGCCGAGTGCATTTTCAACACCCATATGCCGACCCATGCTCGCGCAGGGTATCGACATTTCGCGGATCGATATCAACTTTCAACGCCCAACTATAAAGTTTAGAGAAAGAAATACATATTGCTTGGTTAAGTGGTATGGCAGAGTTGCATATAGAGATGGTTACAAATAAAGTTAACAGCTAGGTAAGTGTTAAAACGACTACGAACTAGTTAAGAATGCCAGTAAAAGCGAGAGAAAAGTGGGGAGTATCGTCAGGCTGGAAAGTTTTCCACTGAACAAAACGGTAAATCGGTGGGGAGGCAAACAAAGAGCACTGAATTTACGCCACAGCGGTTTTGCGTAGCTGCCGTCGCCATCCAATTACAATACATCCATATGTAGGAGCTCTGTGTATGTATAATATATACGTATATAAATGAGTATTCCCCACAGTGGGAGCGAGAGGTAAACGGGGCGTTTGAGTACGCTATTTATAGAGAGTGAGCCAAGTGGTGGCCTTTCAATCCGGGGGTTGCAAACGAGAATCGAGAACATTCGACTTGAGTATATATCGAGTATATAGAATGCTGAAAATCTGGGAACAAATCCCAGTTACGCAACTTGATAAAATTGTGTTTTTCTTTGCAGAAAAATTAACACTCCCGGCGACGTTTGAAAACGCTTTTCGCTGGAGGTCGACTTGTGGCTATTAACTACGACTTAAGCTAAGGTTGGGCTTACGAATAGAAGTAGAACACGCTGGTTTCGCTGCTGTGTGTATATACCTGGCTTCCTATCCCAATTTTCTCAAGTCCGCAGGTCAGGGCCATCGCCTTATCGACCAATAGGGAGTGGACATCCGGACATCCTGGTTCTGCCTTAGACTGCCTAGGGTTCCACTTTCTAGCCAAACTCGAGAAACTCTGCCTCTGCAACGCCAAAAACTGCCACTGCCTGCCGCATTGCGAAATTCCCCGACGCTGACCAGCAAAATCGATGACTAATTCACGTCTTTCCAGTGGATTTCTGGGTTTCTTTGTTTCCAACTCGAGAGCAAATAACGCCCAACGTGGATCGAATTCTACGTGGGCCCTTCCGAAATTTTGCAATTCTCCTCCTGCTGCTCCTCCTCAGCGACACGATTTTCACACTTTTCCATTTCAGGATACAAAAACTACTGCTTGCCAATTGCAAGAGTGGAAATTTCTCTGTACTATTTAAATTAGTTTTTACTTCAGCTACACTGTGACTACACTTGAACACTTTTTATTTGATAGTGACGTTCTCCGAAAAAGGCGGCCCTATTTATACCCGCTGGCTGGCTTCGGGAAACATCTGCCAGTCTCTCGGGTCTTTGGCATTGGGGTTGGGGTTGGAGCGAGCACACTATACTACACATCGGACTACGTGACTCGGGCTGGTTTCTCACGCGTTTATGCATCACTATGCTACAAAACCACCCTCCATTTGAGGAAAAGGGTCGCTAAGCCCGAATCCTACTAGTTTTCTACCTGATTCTAGAATGTATCCTGTCATTGTATCCTTAAGGATATCGCAGATGCATTTAAATGTAGATCTCTTTAAACGATTGGTTGGCCTATTGAATTTCCTTTTAAGTAAAATAAGGCATTGCTAAAATAAAATAACTTTCAGGAAACTTAGCTTGACAATAAAAATAAGTTTAAACATTAACTAATATTAAGGAGATCTAGGAAAATATAATATCGTTAAAATCTTATCGCTTTTGCTAAGTCTTTTAGGCACGACACTTCTTTTAATTAGAACATTTTCTTTCAACAGTAACGTTAATGGCTGAATTTTGTTCATAGGTGTAGGCTGGAAATTTCTAGAAAGAGATAGAAAATTGTTTGTTTTTAAAGAGAGACCACCATATTTCGCTGACTCACAGAGTTGTCAATTTTCATGTGGAATATTCCAATAGTTCCGTCAACCAAAATATTTGCAAATCTAAATAAGCAATGATTTCATGAAACTCGAAATTATATAAAAACATCATATATGTGTATATAGTTATTTGTTTTGTTTTTGAAGAAATATTAAAACCCATTTATACATTTATATTCATTTTAGGAGCTCTAAAGAGTTTAACAGTATTAGATTAGCTCAAAATAACGGAGAAAACGAAAACACCAGCAAATATAGTATACAATATTATTGTTTGCGTATATTATGCATTTTTTAGCCAATAATCTTTTGTGTTAGTTTTCTTTTACTGTTTTTTTGTACTCTTTATTTCACTAAATCAATAAATATTTCGGTCAAACGCGCCACATTTTATTGCGTTGGCAGTATTTGGAACTACTGTGGCAGAGAATGGCTGTTAGTTTAAAAAACGGCCGCACATAACATGGAAGAGTCAATGGCGCTACTGCTGAAATGTGAAGTATAAGTTGAATAGAAGAGTTCGTATTTTTCATGTGATTTCCATGAGTTTTCGGAGAAGTATATTTAGGAGTCTGATATTTCCCAAATAATAAAATCGAGAGTTAGCGACAACGCCTTTTAAATATTTTTGGAAATAAATAATTTAAATAATTCTCAAAAAACTTGTTTTAGACCGCAAAGATTTTTTGGAAACCCTTTGCCCAACCCTATTTTGGAGAAGTCGAACTAGTACAGAATTTCTACGATCCAGATAATGGTAAGAAGAAATGCCTAAAAAAAGGAAAAGTAGAAAACTACTTTTTTAAGTTTTTATTATCATTGACAAAAAAAAGTAAAGTAAAATTAAATAAAAAAATTCAAAACATTTACAAATTTCAAAACCACTTAAAATAAAGTTGTTTTTTCAAGCATAAAGCCAAATCCCCTTTGCACAAATCTGTATATTCCCATGTTAAAATTTTGGGTCGTTGCCGCAGTGTACGGTGGCGAGTGGCAAATGTTTGCGAGTGCTGAACCAAACACAAGGTTTTTGAACCTTTGGCCGCTGGGCCAGCGAGCAGGAAAGCCAGCTGTTGCAAACGCAGGCGCATCCTGAGCACAGGCGACCTCGGGGAGGGTTGGCTCCTCGGAAAGAGAGAGGGCTTCCGAATGAGTGAGTGGCTCGGCGAGTGAGTTCCTGGTTATCCTTGAGCAACAGAGTGCTCAGCTCGGAGCGGCCAAATGAATGCTAACGAGCTGAGCTGCTGAACGAAACTTGAAAACTGCCATTAAACTTCAAACAAAAAGTATGCAAACTTTGGATTATTTTGTATCGGTCGACAGAGATTTAATTGCCGACCCAGCTTAGGCAAGAGCGGAAGGATCTCCGCATTCCGCCATAAAGCCAAGTTGAACAATCACGAGGAACATAATCATAAACAAACGGACAGGCGAAAGCAATTGACACGAGCAACGAACAAACAAAAGCGACAATAGCATAATGGAGGCAGGAGATGCACGGAAATTGCGTATACGCCGTGTGGCCCTCTTGTTGCTCTCGCCTTTTGTTTCGTTTCCTGCCGCCCGCTGCCTGCTGCCTGCCGCCTGTTGTGGCACGCAACAAACAATGGCCAGCAGTCAAATGGCATAATAAACGTATTTATGAAGGGGCCCGAAATGAGCATATGATGAATCCCCCATGAAACCCCAGCCGGAGGTGAGTGGTTAGTGGCTTGTGGTTATGTGTGGGTCTGTTGGCACTTTTTCGGACCACGCAGCCTCCCACTCGGTCGCCCTGACATTTCAGCGATCCAACCTTGGATATTGCCAAATGTGGTCCTTCAGTTTTAAGCCTACAAAGTTGTGCGCTAAGCCTGCGAAAAGTACGGAACGGGAACGGCAGAGAACTACGGTCGCAAAAACATATAGGAGAGCTCTGTCATTGCATTTGAGGGCCGTTGGTTCAGCGCTCACCGAGTACATAGGCGACAAGGACGACTGAGCGAGCGGCCGAGTGGGTGGGAGCCTCACTGCCACCCATTTCCCCCCGCTTTCCCTCCCCATTAACGAACTCGAACCCGAAGAGCCGAAGATGCGGCGGAGGCGACTGAAGGCGGGCGCGGTTTGGCAACAGGGACCTACATTCCGTCGTATCCTGTCCGTCGGCAGCCGTCGGCTCGAGTTGGCCTGAAAAACGAGCTGGCGCGGCCACGGAGCCAGCAGTCCTCATTCAGACGCGAATCCGTTGACAACGCGGTCGCCCAAAGGGGCGGATATCCAGCAATATCCATTCCAGTGGCCAAGCATCGGCGGCCCACAACATCGCTTCACGGAAACAACGACCACGCGTAGTGTTAACCTTTCGAGTGTCCGCATCCAGCGGATTTATCCGGGGGAGTTTGCCTGTGTTTGCTTTCCCCAGAAGGCGTGGGAGTGCAGAATGAATGGGAGTTCTCCTTCGCGGCCTGCAATTCTGGTGTGCAGTTCTCTTGGCGAACAGTTTAATTAGTTGCCCCACGCCTGATTTGTCAACGCCTCGCTGTTGACACTTGGTCGCACGCCCCATTGCCCCATTGCGCCCCAGGGACGACGGCTAAGGACTATCGGCGGTGGCATCTCCAGCAAGACGGCTAGATGGCCAGCAGGCATGTCAGCTCAATTGGGTCCTAAGCACTTTCACGCTCGAAAAGCAAGAAGGAGCCCAATCCAATTGCGAAGGGATCGCCAGCTGGGGAGTTACACAGAAAAGTGGATTTTGTACCTTGGCTATCAGCAGTTTAAACTTTCATGAGCGAGTGGCTTGTCGTTTCCAAATAAATATGCTTCCCTTTTTTGGACGTGCTTGTGTTTACTGAGAAGTCCCCCGTTTAGATGGTAATACGTTTCATAGTAAGGCAGGTTGGGTTCAAACCCAATTTAGAATCCTTAAAATTCATTGGAAGCACTTGCCAAAATGTAGCAGCAAAAATGATAGTTGAAAAGAGCTTATAGATATTCCGAACACAGTTAACACCTTTTAATTATTTAAAGGAAATTCAATATTAAATTTAATTAAAAATGATTCAATCACAGTAGGCCATAAATAACGTTATGACCTGTTAAATTTACAGTCAGATATATATCTTGAATTCTGTTTAATAACAGGGTAATTAATTTGAAAGAGACATACATAAATATTAACAATACTCATTTGTGGCCAAAGTCAGTGAATAAAAGCTTTGGGTTTAGCTCCATTAAAAGTATAAATGTCAGCCGAATGTTAGTGCCAAAATCAGGGAACTAGCCGCGGTATTAAAAGAGATTTTATTGTTGTAGTGAAAAACCCCAGAAGCAAAACAAAAAAAGCTGGATTTTTTTCCGTGCTCGGATTGAATTGTGTGCCGAGGGGTCCTCAGTCGCCAGTTTGTCTGATGTAGACACTCCCATGGAGCCATGGAGCACAAAAGAATGTCGCCTGGCTTTTCGTTTGTTACCAATTGTTTCGCTGTTTGACTGTTTTTACTGCTCCACTGCTTACTGGCAATTTTTCGGCACTCAATCGAAGAGTGCTGCGTGCGTTTGGCAGTTGTGCTTAATGGAATTTTTATGCGCTGCTATTGAGTTGCTCAATTGCTCGTTGTTGGCTCGATGTTTGTTCGCCGATTTTTGAGGTCAAAGTGCACGCTCGCTGCCTTTTCAATTGTGCCAAAAACAGCAGCCGAACGAACGAACAATGGGCGAAATGGCATTAAAATTAATTAGCGACGCGCATGAGTTTCAAACAGCCGCCGTGGCCATGTCCCTGAGCCCAAAAAACCCTCGGTATCCCGATGCCCGATCTCCTCCAGCAGCAGCATTTATCCAGGCACCCAGCATTTGGCCTTATCTGAAACTGAAACTCAAACTGAAATATGCACACGAGGCCTTGGGCCGCCGACTTTTTCGTAATGCCATCCAAGGCAACGTCAACCAGCTGACGAACAACCGAGTGAGCCAAGCCAACCGAGCCATTTCACTCCGCATTTTCATTCGCATTCGCAGTTGCACTCGAATTCGCATCCGCATCCGCAACCGAAAAGGCAACAAACTGCTGTAGCCAAAAAGGAAACAAAATCCTTGAGGGCCGCAGCGAGTTTCGTTTGTTGTGCAACTTTTGGGGGCAAACACAGCGAACACACCATATCATTTCCCCCGGACAAACGAGCCTTTGTGGAACGTGAGTGCTAATTAAAAACCGTTTCTGTAATCCAGAGCCACGAAACTTCCTGCATATCCCGCACAAAACCGAAAAGCCAACGAAGCGCCAAGCGACGATGCCGTTTTTATAGACCTTTTTCTAAGCAGACGCAATCGAGATTCGACCGGAGATAGTGGAGATAGCGGTGGAGAAAGCGGAGCCGAGGCGCCAGTGAAAGTGCCATCTGGCCAATCAAGACGGCCGGATTGGATGATGGCCGCCGGCGGTCGGATTCGCAAGCGAAAGCATAAAACCCATACAAGTGGCGACACTGACAACGACAACGACAACGCGACAATGGCGCCGGGAAAAGTCGAGGAGACGGCCGAGGATTATAATAATTTCACGCATAATTTCGTCGATTTGCAGAACCTCTTGAGTTTCAACGAACTGAATGGCAGTAGCAGCAGCGGCATCAGTAGCTCCTCGAGCGCATCGAGTGCCATCAAGCTGAGTAACGGCGCCATTACGGACACTCTGCTCGGCACCGTCCTGACCACCACGGTGGCTCCGGCGGCCAGCTCTTTGATAGCCACCCTGGCGGTGGCCACCACCTCCTCCTCGGCCTCCGCCTCGCTGAGGGGCAGGGCACCGGCCATCGCGGACGCCACCTCGGCCACCTACTACGCCAACTTGCTGAACCTGTCGCCGGCCACCACGAGTCTCATTTCGGCGGCGGCGGCGGCCACCAAGTCGTACAATGACAGCGCCCTGCGATGGGAGCAGCTGGACGGGAGCGTGGACTTCGGATTCGACCCCCTGTACCGGCACTCGCTGGCCATGTCCGTGGTCTACTGCGTGGCCTACATCGTGGTCTTCCTGGTGGGACTCGTGGGCAACAGCTTCGTGATCGCCGTCGTCCTGCGGGCGCCTCGCATGCGAACCGTGACGAACTACTTCATCGTGAACCTGGTGGGTGGAAGCGTTACTCTCCTCACACACACCCAGTCCATTAATCAGAAATAAAAATTTACATTCCCCCTCCTTCGCCTCGAAATGCGACTACAGGCCATTGCGGACATCCTGGTCATCGTCTTCTGCCTGCCAGCCACTCTGATTGGCAACATCTTCGTGCGTAAGTATCCTTTTAATTCCGCCGGACGGAGAGATTTATTTGCCACTCGGGGGAAGCATTAGGGAGTTTTTATCTTTTCTGTTGCTTCTGCATATTAGCCGGATTTATGTCCTGCAATTAATCGCCGCTTAGACGGAGCTCTGCCAAATGTTGTTGCTGCTGCGTGTTTACGCTGCGTATGCGTAATGTGTCCGATTCGTAAGAGAGCAAATGTAATGGAGCCTCATTAGGACTAATGTTGGCATAAATGTCCGGGAAAAAAGTGCTCAGCTTTTTTGTAGCAGAAAAAGCGATGAGATTGCTGCATTCTATGTGCGCTTGAATTAGTTAGAAAGTGCTTGAATTAGTTACAAAGTGCTTATTCAGCTTTCCGTTCATTTGAAAACTGCAGTTGGGGCTGCAGACCCGTTGGGGTCCTCCGATTTTATGGTACTTGCATTAAAAAAGGAGAGCAGATGATAAGCCTTTAAAGTGGGGTGCAAAATGTCAAGTTTAAGTATCGAATTTTAATAGCTTCTGCAATGACAAACATAAATTTAAAACGAAAGAAAAACACGAACAGCGATAGCACAAGTTTTTAATTAAAAGGGGGAGATTGTATAAAAACTTCAAGTACGGAAAAAACATTCCGTAAAGGCAGGTCGATTTACCAGAAACGAGGAAAATCCCCGTAACAACGAAAAGATGTTCGTACTCAATTAAATTAATTTATAAGCTGTCCCTTCTTGGAAGTGACAACCCGAATGGCCCGAGTACAAGTGTCTATTTAATTAGAGGCCAATTCCAAATCCCAGCGACGACCCACAAACGACCCGATAAACGAGGCTACGCATAATTGTATGCTTTAATTTAAATAAATTTGCCTGACATGCCTATCCATCCGTCCATCCATCCATCCATCCATCTATCTATCTTTGTATCTATCTGTCCCTGTCTGCTGCGATACACCCCCAATCGTTTGCGTTTCTCCCCCGCCGATTTGCCACGGACTTTGTGGGCTGACACCCAAATTGATAGTCGCAAACCTGGCCGAGAAGGTGAAGCGAGTGGCAAATGTCTATGCAAATCGCCGTCGACATGGAAAAATGATCGAAATCCTTGGTAAATCAAATTCCGATTGTGGAGCACGCCATGCGGCTTCCATCCTCCACTGCAACTTGCCTCCGCTGGCTGCCCCAATCCGAAACCGAATCCGAATCCGTATCCGAGTCCGAGTAGCAATCCCAAGACCCAATGCCAGGGCGTAGGCTCGCAGGTTGTGCCAAGTGTTGCCAATTAAGTGGCCCTGCCTGCGAGAACTTTCCCTCTCTTGTTGCTAAACTGGGCTCTACACTGGGGAAAACAAGTGGCAATGAATTTAAGCAGCTTCATTTTAATAAATTAAATTTGTTTATTAAATGCAGAGCTAGAAAGAGTTGGCGCCAGAAAATTTAAACTAAGAAAAATGCCAACTTGTTATTTTCCTAAATGTTAATGTAAAGCACTCAAATAAAAAGTGATAAAATTTATATTATTCGGATTTTTAAGCTAAACTTAAATTTGAATTTAAGAAATGGATTTTGAATTTGTTATTTTCAAAATGACAATTTTAGTACAAGCTGATAATAAGTATTTAAAATATTCATGGTTAAGTCAGAAGTCAGAATTATAATAATGCAGTAATATTTTACTTAGCTTCAAACATTTTTTACTACATTATCCAGATTAAATTTCATTAATATACACATCGAATCTGTAATTTGCTATATTTTATTTCCAAAATGTGCAATAATATACAAAATTTAAATTTCTCTGTTAAATATTTGCACAGTAAATTGTATTAAGTTAACCAGAGATAGAGAAGATTTATGTCCCTGTGTACTTTGACTGCACTCGGACCCATCTCCTCCCACTCCTGTGGAGAAACCCGCCCACTTGGGGAAATGTAGTAAACGAAGGCTGCCGAGCGAAAATGGCAAGGAACGAATGAAGCGAGTGGCGAAAAAGTGAATGAGTTTACCTCAGCCTGCATTGTGTGTCTGTGTCCGTGAATGTGTCTGTGACTGTGTCACTGCGCACTCTCTCCGCTCTCTTTCACCCGCTCTCTTTCGCCCGCTCTCCCTCTCCGTGTATGTATTCTCCAGTGTCTGTGTGTGTGTGCTGCATTTGTTGCTGCTTTTCGGGGTGGCCCAAAGGATCATCGACACAAAACTGACCTAATTTCACAAATTCAAGCTAGGCGCAGGGCCGACAGCTCTTAGTGGGTCACAGGGGGTGGTGGGCGGTGGGTGGTGCTTGGTACTCGGATGGGCGTGGGGCTGGGGCACCCTTTTCCCCCTTTTTTACTGGCATGTCTTGAGCTGGGCTCAGCCGTTGAGGCCTAGGCAAAAACGCCAGTCACAACAAATTGCAGCCCTCCCGCTGGCATTGGGAATTCGGAATGGCGGGCTGAAGGGTTAAGCTCGCAATCCCCCCTCCCCACTCGCATTCCTGCTCACTTTCGACAAGCTGCTGAAGTTTAAATCGAAGGCAGCGAGTTCACAGCGACTTGGGTTGAAATAGCACCAATGCATGGGGAAAAATTCGGTATTCAAAAGATTATTTATTTATCCAAGAGGTTAACTTCATTGCAATGCGTTCTAATTAAATGAAAGTGCTTGTAAGCTTCTTTTAAAATAATAGTGTAGAGTTTTATTCAACAGAATAGAAGATAAATTTAGCATTTCCTTTAACTTTCCTTTAGAAAATGATTGGGGTTATGATTAGGTTTAAATAGGATAAAATTACGATCCAACTATTCTTGAGTAGACTTTATGAATTTCTGAGCAAAAAAAGAATGCAATGATTTGAACTAATCAAGAATTTGGTTTTTTAGATAAAAAATATATAATATACGGAAATGAATAATCTTGTTTTAAACTTTAAATTTAGTATTCAGGAAACTAAGGAACTAACTGGGCGAATAGAAGTCCAGCCCAGAGAGATATTTTGAGAAGACAGAACCTCTGAACTTCCTTAACGCTAACGATAGTTCTCGAACTCTATTTCGTAATCGACAAACACTTTTCTTTTTGTGTAGAACAGCGTGCGTGGGACTTCAGAAGTTTTAGATATTTGCATATCGAACATTGCACGTTGCTGTCTGATAGCTCCGCCAATTCAACTTCAGCCCGAGCGAATGGCGAATTGTTGGGATGGTCGCCATGTTTTGCCATCAAACTGAATTATATGAAATCAAATTCTAGCCGTCAAAGACGACGTTGCAGTCGCAGTCGCCGTCGCTGCCGACGCCGCCGTTGCCGCCGCTGTCGCCGTTGGCAGCACCATTATCTAAGCACACCTTCAAGCCTCAGAATTGCAATGGAAGGTTGTTTGCATTCAAGGCTCTTTGCGGCTGGATGAATTGACCTAAATATTTCGCTTGGCAAACCTAATAGTCAGGGTTATACACACACTAGTGTGTCTGCGTGTGTGTGTGTGTGTGTTATTTTGTGTGTTTGTGTGTGTGTCTGTGTGGAAGGGGCACCTGTATTGGGTTGGGCCTGTACTGTTTGTGGGAGGTTTCTGGGTGGCTCGTGGGTGGTGCGGGTGGTTTTCTGGGCAGCGGGTGGAATGTTACACTGGCCCTTATTTATGTGTGTGCTTCGAAATCCAATAAAATGCGAAATGAATTGATTTCCCAGCTACGATGCCGCCTTGAGACGAAGGATATCCTTGCAGCGGCAGCGGCAGCGAACAGCAATTGTCCCAATTGCCGCTTTATGGCCATTGTTGTGCCATTTTTACCAATGGGGGAATCGTTATCATTACGGCCCAGATCCAGACCAAGATCCGCCACTCTCGTTCGGCGAATCCGTAAGTCACGTTGCCAGTTTGTTCATTAAGAGGGCCACGTGATTTGTGCCGGGCGAACGCGGCGTATGCGTAACGTCGCGCCATCTCCGCCGCCTCCGCCACTCCCTTTCCCACTGATGAAGTCATTTTTCAGCACTCTCTGCTCGCCGATTGTATTTTAATTTAGTCCCTACGTGCCCTCGGCGAATGGCATCCAACCTCTGACCTCTCCACCCACGATCTCCTGCGCCACCAGTTCCATATCTCACCTCCAGGCTACAGGCTCCAGTCTCCCGTCTCCAGGCTCCCTACTCCCCGATTCCGATTCCAATTCCGATTCCAACTCCTATTCCGAGAAGCACTCACATTGCTGGGCGCTCCGACTGCGCCGACTGTGGTATTCAATTTGCCGACGAGCTGCCACAGAAGTCGCCGCAGGACGTGACGCCGCGGCGATAATCATAACAATAACGCGTTCGCCAGAAGTGTTATGCCTTTCCCATGGCCACTCCACCCCCACTCCAATCGAACCTGCGGATTTGTCACGCATGATTATTTCATTAACTTTACGACCAGGCTCTGTGCATGACAATGCCGCAACCGAAACGAATCCGCAACGGCCACAATAATCCAATCCACTTTGCCTACGCACAGAATAGAAGAAAGCATTTGCAAATTGCGGGCAAAATGTTTTTAAAATAACACCACCCCTGCCTGGAGCGCCCTTAAACGGTAATGCTTTGTTTAGGAATTTCCATTTGTTTTTCAGCCCACTCCAGTTCGCTTTAGATAGAAATGGTCAATATTTCAAATGCCCTTAAACCTATTGATTTTAGATTATTTTTTGAAAAGTGTTTCTTACTTGATATTTAAAAACTCATTTACCAAATTTGATAACGTGTATTCAATTTTGTTCAATAATAGGTTTAGTTTTGGCTAGAAGCTACATTTAATGACTTCCTAAATTCATAACAACTCAAATAAAAAAGGTTTTTACATGGCATATCCTGGTATCCAATAACACATTCACAAAAATTGGCTTGTGTACCTTAAGTTCAATTTCCTTTTAAAGAGGGTTATTTTTACAGAATTGTGATGAAACTAAGCTGCCAAAAAACCCTTTCCCAGCCTTCTATTATTGTTTTCTGTGCGGCAAATGAAAAACAAAAGTTCCCCCATAAAGAGAGGGCATACAAAATAAAAGGCTTAGGGCTCACTTGACATTTTCTTTGGGGTCGGAGGAGGAGGAGGAGGAGGTAACCACACCGCCACCCCAAATCGAAGGCTGTCGATAAGCCCAAATATCGATTGGTGTTATCTCCTGTAGTTGATCAATATTGAGCACAGGCTTAGGCTTATAAATGGAGGCGTCTGTTAGCCATATGTTGCCATGTCACAAACACTCCAAGTCGGATCAACCGCCCATCCTCTTCACCTTGACGAAGGAAGCTGGATGTTTGCCGAGCGAACGGAGGAGTGTTTGGTTTCACTTGAGGCCACAAATTGGTAATGCCACAAGGAGTTTCAGGGCCGCACTGACACGCGAGTCAATTAAGGTTACCTCGCTACCTTCAATTATGTTTGTACAACATATTAAACAGCCAAAAAGTTCCGAGAATAATTAGGGGTTTGTTTGGCAGGACTGAGTGGGAACTTCCAAAACTTATGCTTCATATTTTTCTAACAACACATGCGCAGCTTAGCATTTACCAATAAATTCGTACCTGCATTGTTGATTCTTTAAGGTATGAAAAACTAAATGCCCTCTTATGCAAAACCCTGACCTTTTAGTTTTTTTCCTTCATATTTGTTATAGGTCATCACAAAGTTTGTGTGGTACATTAATTAGCAATTATTCTTTTAAATAAATAGTGACTCTAAAGTCAATATTGAATGTCATCTCATATGGTTCATGTTAAGTCAACCATGTTTGTTTAATTATTAGCTTTAAATGTTTTGGCCGAATACGATTAACATTAAAAGTATAAAAGTTCAATACTTCATTTATTTTACATATAACTTGTTCAACGACTTGTATAAGCTTTTAAACTAATTAAATTAATTTCCTGCTTACTTAAAAACCATTGTTGGCCAGCGGTTAGCTCAAAATTCCTCGATAAGCCTTTGTCCTGAGTCCGTTAAGCTTAGCATAACACAAAGTTGGCTAAAACTGTTGACTGCTCCGAGTGCACTGATGCAAACTTTAATCCCAGACAGACCAGGCGAGTCACGTTTACTTGTCCTAATAGAATGGCTCACCCAATTAGATAGTTTACTACCGAGAAAAGAGGGAATGGGCGGGCATCTATTTTTAAGAAGTTAACTCTGCTGGAATGGCAGATTCGCAGGCTGGCGAGTGATGGAGCGTTTCGGAACCGAATTTGAATTTAAATTGTTTTTAACCAAGTTGAGAGCATAAAGTTTGCCGAGTCAAGAGCTTTCGCAGACAGCCATATATCAAAGTTCACCCTTATCAGCATAATATCAAGTGAGTGGGCAAATACACTCGCGTTAATAGCATCGGATCCAGTCTGCTGCACTTGCAGGTCTGCCCAAAAGCCATTTCAAATCGGGGAATAAAATCGAAGAACGAAAAACGAAAAAAACCCATTCGAGCTGCTGTCCTGCTGTCCCGCTGTCCTGCTGTCCTGAGTACACACACAGTTGATTGTTTGTCTGGCTGATGTCCTGCCCACGCATGTGATCCCGTCCAGGACCTGTCCATGCCAATCCCGCCGAGTTCACTTGCACAAAGCGCCAATAATATTTATATTTTTATGTGCCAAATCATATTAAAGTTGGCTTTTATTGGGCTGCCTCGCCGGCGTACGGTGCGTATGCATAATAAAAAGCGACAACAAGTCGAGATAAGACAGGCGAACGAGACAGGAAATTAGAAGCCCCGCGGAGCGGGGAGGCGTCTCCTCTTCCCGAGCGTTGAACCCGTGAACTCCAATTGCCAAAGTGCTAACTGCTCCCTGCTAACTGCTCCCTGCTAACTGCCAACTGCTAATGATGTGTGGATGTTGTGGGCTGCACTCGCACTTGTTTAATTGCCATTCGATATGTCATGCCCTTGGCTGTCATCAACCTTGGCGGGATTCGCCCCCCGGAATGTGTGCTTTATAACCTTTTGTGTCTGAGTGAGTTATGCCTCTTAGCATAAAATTCATAACGCACAACTATGCGCAAGTACGGCCCGTGTCTTCCATTGCCATTTCCATCTCCCCGCCAGCACCCACATCCACATCCATCTACCATCAGATGGAATAAAAGGAATACAAATTAACTTAGGCAGTGCTGCGGTCCGCCTTGGTCTGGGCAAACAATGCCCCCAGTTCCTCCAGGACTCCCAGTCCTCCAGCGGACTCCTTCTGACTGTTCTGCGCTGGGCTGGGCGCAATCTGAGACTTGTCACCAAATTATGAATGATATGCAGCACATAAATCTCAGTCAGCAAACAACGACGGCGACGTGGGCGGCGGCGATGACAAGAAGCATTGAACGCCAACCGGGACCCAGCACAACTCGAACCCAACTGTCCGTGACTACGACAACCACTGCACTGAGCGAAAAAAAAGGGTGCCCAAATGAGTGTTAAAAAACCGAACAATTTTATGCTTTTGGCTATAAATTTTGCCTAGAGAAATAGGAGTCAACGGAGGGAAATTATTGTAATAAAAAATTCGATTTTTATGTTCCTTTAGAAATAGATCTGTTCAAATTAAAGATTTTAGAAATTCAGATATAGAACCAAATGATATAAAACATGGTCATTATATGGATTTTAAACTATTTGTAAAATATTTGAAACTCTGCTAAAAACCTAGAAAATTTGTTTCTGTGAAAAATCTTTTGGGAGTTATGGCAAGCAAAATATCATTTTAAAATCTGGCCTTTGACCCTCACCTTGTGTTTCCCTCTTAAAAGAGTCCCCTTTTTGCCACAGTGTATGACTGTGGCAACAAGGACGCTTTGACCGAAAGTTACTCAGCATAATTTGTGCATTGTTTATGACCAATATTTACCCATTTCCCCGCTTTCTCCCGCTCCTCCATGTCCTGCAGCCTGGATGCTCGGATGGCTGATGTGCAAGTTTGTGCCCTACATACAGGGTGTCTCCGTGGCAGCCTCGGTTTACAGCCTAATTGCCGTCTCCCTGGACAGGTGAGTTGACACAAAAAAACACTTTCTCCAGTTACGTGGCTACGAACTTTTATTGTGGGATCGGTTTCGGGGGTCAGGAAGGGATCGGGTTGGGTTGGGTTGGGTTCGGTTTGGGGGAGGGGGATCTGGATCGGGACTCTCCGTTGAGTGCGGTTAATGATGCACGACGACGGCGGGGGCAGCATGATGCACTGGAACCAGGGGCACCACCGGCCGGACGGCGTGCACCGCCACCACGGGCTTGTGGACCACGGGGGTGATGACCTTCACGGCTGCCGGGTGATGAACAACGTGGCTAAAAGGCGGCAAAGTAACGGGGTCGTGAGTTGCCAGCGCGATAAGCAGATTGGAAATGAATGGCTTACGAGTGCACCGAGTGGGCGCCGTGATGGATGATGGGCGTGTGCACCACCGGGTGAGCCACCACGGGAGCCACGGCCACCACTCCGGGATGCGCGTAGGTCTGGGCGGCGACGAGGGCGACGAGCACGAACAGCTGCGGCGGATCAGGGTTCACGGATTAGCATGATTAGTGGCATTAGCGGGAGCAGCAGGTGGCCGCCACTCCGCAGAGTGATTCGCTGTTTGTTGGTGGGAGATGGGATGACTTGGAGACACAGTAAGCCTGGTACTAAGTTATCTTTTCACTATCTTGTTTAACATTCACTCAATTTAATATTAAATTACATTTTTGACAGTCCAAAAATTGGTATTTTTAATTATAAATAATCATAAATTGTAAATAATTTATTTTGAAATTGTAATTACAGCAATGTCAATTCAGTGTCATTTCTAATTTAGAATATTTAAAACTACATATATAGATTTGATCTACAAAAATTAGCTTTGATTTGATTTTTAATAAAATTCTTATTTGAAAAGCTAGCTTGATACTCAAGTTAAATATCTGAACAATATTCTTAAATATTCATATCAAAAAGATGTGATGTACTAGTTTAAGCTCTTTCCGACAGATACTCACAATTTTGAACATTTTGCTGGTGGTGGTTTTTGGCGGGTTAACTGGAGTAGGAGCTAGGAGCTAATGACTTGTAATTGTCGACTGGTGACAACTTGAGCTGCGAGTGCGGCTTTTATAGGAGATTTGCCAGGTGACCGATCCGAAAGTGAGCAATTGCCGTTCAATGCAATCGGCTGAGTGGAAAACTGGTCAGATCGAGCAGTTTGGCTGTTAGGCAGTTATTCAGTTAAGTAGTTAGGTGGTTATGTAGGAGAGTCAGTGGAGCAGTCGTCTCAAGATCAAGTTCATCATATGCCTCATGGTTTGCCTTGTCCGTATTAGGCGCCGCATGCACTCAATTTCATGTTTCTCGAGTTTTTTGTGCACTTCAATTGGCTTAGAATGTTGTTGGCCGCGGCGATACCATTGATGATTGGCCGCCAGGAATCGGAGTGATTCGCAGCGATTCCTGCCCTGCTCTTCCTGGCCCATAAATATATGAAAAAGCGATAACGATGCGATGGCCATAAAGTGGGCAAAGATTGCGGGTTACTGGTTTATCAAGTGACGCCGAGGTCTTTTGACGTGTGCCAGTCGTAACCCCAAGGACAATGAGAGATGCCAAGCGCCCGTCGCTTTATGCGCACATCCATTTATATCAATTTCTGCCCAGTTGTAGCCAGAGGCACTGACTCGGCTTCTAATTCTGATGCTGCTGCTGCTTCTGCTGCTGCTTCTGCTGCTGATTCTGCTTCTGTTTTTGCCACTGTCATTTTTCAGCCAGCGGGGACAAAGGCGGACCCATCATTTGATCGTTTGGTCACCCAAACAGCCACAGACCCGCATGACAGCCATCCGCCCACGCTAATCCCAGCCCATCGAAGTCCAAGGCCGACACCAACACCAAGACCAAGTCCAAGTTGAAGTCGGATTAGGAGTGGCAGTGGAAGTCCGGCTCCATCGATGTCCGTTTATTTAGTTGTCTTGCCACTGCGGTTGCTTTGTGCTTTTACGAGCACTCGTAAACAGAATCGAAATTTAAGATTTATTATCTGTAACATGAAACTTAAATCTCTCCTCCTGACAACGGGAGGATTTGGGATTGGACTTGGAGTTGGCTCACACGGATGCTGGATGCTGGATTCTGGATACTGGGGAACTAATACCCCACTGACTTAGCTTATCGCTCGCTTATACTTATACTTATGCCAATGCCATTTAATTAGGGTCGTTTGTTGCCAAAAAACGTATATATATATAGTATATATAAGTAGATTGTGTGTAATCATAAAGTCCAAACGATATCACCGCACATAGTTGTGACTTTATGGCGCTGGCATTGCGGCTTTTGTGACTCGACGCAAATGCCAACAGTGCGTATGGGCAACCGCAGAAGGAACCCAAATAAGCCACATAAAACCACGTGTATCTAGGAAATCGCGGGGTAGAGGGATTTGCTCTTAACTATAAAAGCTTCAAAAGCGCGAATATCCATGTGGAACGTCAACTTGTTTTGCTTATTTTCCCTCAAGGAATATGCGTATGAATGTATTTTGCCAAGAAAGGATAAGCATGTGGCTTAATAAATTTGGCAACGTCACTGAAGTGTCTTCGTATAGAGATTTACACATATGACACTTGGCCAAATTAATGGGCAACAATTACCTCGGCTGTCAGAATAATTATGGTAATTTTGTTTGCGACGGAGAACTTCGTTTTTATTGTTTTTTAATTTGGTTCAATTAAATAAACTTGGAAGAGTGAAACCCTTTTCGCATTTATTTGTTTTTAACTTAAAATCAATAACGCTTTTATCATTAGTTGGCTATTATTTTCTTTAATAATAACCCTTTTGTATTTATTTTCTCTGTTTTTTTAATTCAATATTAATTTATATAACTCTTTTTATGGTCTTGAAAACAAGGATACAAAACTTTTACATTTGTAAGCTGATTATTTGTGTTCAAAGTCTTATATTATATATTTTGGATAATTTTATTATGAGCAAGTACCTTAATTTTATTGAAGGGGAAGCTATAGTTTGTTATAAACATATGTCTGCTGAGCATTAACTTTGGCGACTGCACTGTTTGAACCAAAGAACGCAATTAAGCTCTCGCCTGATTTATGGTTATACAAATCGCATGGACAAATTATGCTAATGCAATTGGCTTGCTGCTATAAATAAACGTTATGACAATTTGATTATTGGCTTTGCGGACAGCATTGTTCGGCTCGAATCCCTCCGTTTGTTTCGAGATGAGGGTCTCTCAGCACTTTGTTTGCCTTGCTATTTTTAGGCCAGAGTCTGAGAATTGGGATTCTGTTGGGCGAGGGAAGGATCGGGGTGTTGGCCACCCTCTAATGGAATTACCGCTGTGTTATCTGCCCAATGTTTTGGCGGACAGACGCAGGCGACGACCCAAGTCCAAAATACGAGCACAATGCACGTAATTACATGGATTTGGCCAGGAGCAGGGACCCAGGACACCCATGGCACCCATGGCACCCAGACTCCTGGCCCGAGAACGGAGTCTTGTCTATGACCATTGAGCGGGCGCCACAATCAGCCGGCTGCACTAAGCTAAATGAAAAATGCTGAACTCGTTGCCGACCCCATACCGACTCGTCTCGCTACCTCGCAGCTCTTATTCAAATTACAATTCATTATGGCAAGCAGAATAAAAAATGACACCCCTGCTCCTTCACACGTTTTTTGGGGAGAGGGGAGTGGAGTGGGGAAAGCGGAGCAGGCGGGTTCAATAGTCGAGATTGGAAAGCGAACACTCAGCAGAAAAAGGCTTAAGGATGCCCGACTGCTGGCTGTTGGCTGCTGGCTGTTGGCATCCTGCGTGTGCGAATTAATCAGCGGAGATATTTGCATGGCGAGCTCTCCTAGTTGAAACGGTGTCGTCATCGTCATCACCATCGTCGCCTCGACAGCTTGATGATTGCCATTATCCCCGACGGCTCAGCGGTGTCAGTCGAAGTGCTGCGACTTGTGCCGTGACTATCATCTGGTTAAGAAGCCTTTGTCGACTTGCCACTCTTGCAGGTTCATTGCCATCTGGTGGCCGCTGCGGCAGATGACGAAGCGACGTGCCCGCATCATGATAATCGGCATATGGGTAATCGCCCTGGTGACCACCATTCCCTGGCTGCTCTTCTTCGACCTGGTGCCCGCCGAGGAGGTGTTCTCCGATGCCCTCGTCTCCTCCTACTCGCAGCCACAGTTCCTCTGCCAGGAGGTCTGGCCACCGGGCACCGATGGCAACCTCTACTTCCTGCTGGCCAATCTGGTGGCCTGCTACCTGCTGCCCATGTCGCTGATCACCCTGTGCTACGTGCTCATCTGGATCAAGGTCTCCACGCGGTCCATTCCCGGCGAGTCGAAGGACGCCCAGATGGACCGCATGCAGCAGAAGAGCAAGGTGAAGGTCATCAAGATGCTCGTGGCCGTCGTCATCCTGTTCGTCCTCTCCTGGCTGCCGCTCTACGTCATCTTCGCCCGGATCAAGTTCGGATCGGACATCTCGCAGGAGGAGTTCGAGATCCTCAAGAAGGTCATGCCGGTGGCCCAGTGGCTCGGCTCCTCCAACAGCTGCATCAACCCGATCCTCTACTCGGTGAACAAGAAGTACCGCCGCGGCTTCGCCGCCATCATCAAGTCCAGGAGCTGCTGCGGTCGCCTCAGGTGAGTCAAAAATAGTTTTTATTATCATAAGTTCACGGTTCAAAAAATTCACATAACTGGAATATGATTCAATTACTTTTTAAGAGTAGTACTTAAATTTTAAATTGAAACAAAACATTTATTTTAAGGTCTTCAAATTGGTTTCAAAAATAATATATTACTGTTCGTTTTTAAAACCCATTTCTTATAATTCTTCAAACGAATATAAAGAGTGCATTGTTTTTGATGATTTGATAACTTAAAATTGTTTTTGGTAAATTTACACTTTTACAATATTGCTATTTTTGGGCAAATTCATTTATAAGCATATCAAAAAAAACTGAACTCAAATAAAATTTTTCAGAACAAGGCTTTCTAAATAGTTAGTTTTTTTTAGATATACAGGTACACAAACAATATATTAAATTTTTTTTATTTAAAAAGTAGAAAGGCCTTTTAATTAAATTTAACCAATTTAGCCCATCGTGACACTTTATTTATGGTTTCCATTTATTTTAACTTCTTCGACTGCCATCCAGGTACTACGACAACGTGGCCATTGCGTCGAGCACGACGAGCACCAGGAAGTCGTCGCACTACCACCAGAACAGCTCGCGGAAGAGCCCGAGCAGCAAGGGCAACGCGGTGTCCTACATCTACGAGCACAACTCGCTGCGGCGCCACAACATGATGCTCAAGCAGGACAGCAACCTGTCGCAGCAGATGCTGCTCAAGCAGGACTCGCACGGCTCGCGTCAGTTCCTCATCAAGCAGGAGAGCTCCTGCAGCGACGCCTCCGGAATTCGGCGACCTCTTTGCCAGCAGGACAGCAACGGATCCAAGGTGTCGCTGTCCAAGCAGGACTCGATCGTGTCCTACATGGAGGCGCGTCGGGCGGCGGGTCACGGCCTAAATGACTCACTAGTGGACTCTGCTCCGGTGGAGGCCACCCGGCGACCGGGTGCCACCCCGAGCTCCCTGCTCGACAAGCGGCAGAAGTTCGTGAAGCAGGACTCGGTGATCTCGTTCGTGGACCAGCGGCCGGAGCAGCGACGCCACCAGCTGGTCAAGCAGGACTCGGTGATCTCCTTCGCCGACCAGCGACGCGGTCTGCTCCACAAGCAGGACTCGCTGATGGCCAACCGGACGGGTGACGCCCCCACCCACCACGTCTCCATTCTGAAGAAGACCGACTCGCAGCTCAGCTACGGAAGCTCCACTTCTCCGCGCAGGAATGCGGATCTCTACGAATAAGCAACCTCGGGTTGAACGAACTCCTAAAGCCGGCGGCAACCGTCTGCCATTCGGGTTGATTTTCGTGGCTAGTCCCAGGGGTTCCTGCCATCTATGGGCACCATTATATTTACGTTCTTAACTTTTATTTTAACCAAATAATAGGTAGCCCTGAATCGAACATAGATCACACAACCCCTGAGATTATGAGCCCCGCAAATCGACCCATCGCAACAAACAAACTAACGCAACGATACCAAAAACTTACCGAACCACAGAGCAAATCCGTGTATATTTCTATTTAGCATCTAGAAGGAAAAGGATCGAATGGGGGCAGAGTGATAGATGATAGATAGATAGGCCTACGACTGTGATACAAGTCGGCAGTGCTGGTGGGTTCAGAACTTGGGCTATGGTGCCAGTAGACGGACATCGGGATGGACCAATTGGGTGGGTATATCTAATCAGAGATCGCTTAGCTAGAGACGACACGCCACACAGAGGACACCGGACACGGAACACGGGAAACAGGACACGAGAGCCAGGACTTCGCCACACCACAGACACTCCCCACAGACCTAATAGTTATTAGATGTTTTATACGTGTTTCAAAGGTACTACACACACGAGATATGAACTACTCCTTGGCTATGGCTATAAAATACCTATATATATGTACCGTTACGCAGTTTTAAGATTGTTTGTACTCGCAATTTGCTATATCGAACAGTTTGGTTAAGAATAGGTGGAATACGGGAAACGGGAATCGGGATTCGGGAATCGAAGGGGTTAAAATAGCTTTGCTAAAACTTTTTGTACGACGGCGTGCACGAACGTGAGTGAAACGGGCAAGTCCAGTATCATAGTTGAGAAACGAAACAAAACAAAATGAGATAACACCGAGGTCTAAAGTAACGTACCTACTAAATTTTTGTATGGAAATTCTTACAATTTATACATATATATTTATATTGATTTTGGAATAAGCAATATGCAATACGAGCGTATGTCTGCGCGTACGCCGAGTATCTATCAAACAACAATAATCAATTTTATTAGAATTTTACACAACCGAGTCGCGGCAGCGGAAGTGGCACAGCACCGGAAAATAGTTGGCAAACGCAGAACACGGGAAACGCGAGTGATTGGCACGACATCGCAGCTAGTTATCGGCATTGCGCCGATTAATTCGATAGCGATGGCGATAGCGATATCGATCGGTAGTGAAGGCATCGAACGCGCACAAAATAGCACACGACCATGATGGTGGGACAGAGTCGAAGGGGAGGAGATAGGTTAGGGATTAGGGCTAGATTAGGATTAGCAGGATGAACGGACAGCAGGACGAGTTGGTTGTCCGCGAGGTGAGCACAAAGCAGTCAAAGATTTCGCACTAAACGTATCACTACAAACTAACAAAGAAGCAACAATAATCGAACTCAAATTCGTTAAACACTAAACACCAATGAACTTAAAACTATATGAAATAAAATTTTAACGGACGACGAAAGGGGCGGAATCAATGGTAAAACTATGAAACTAAACGTAAAGATTAACTATGCAATTTTATTGTTAGCCAAAATTTTATAAATGTCAAGTAACGAACAAGTAAATATTTATATGTATACAGAATATATCAAGTATAAAGCGTACGTTATATATCTTTATATACTTCGATAGCATTAGGCGCTGCCTTGTAGAGTCGCCAATAAGATCCGATCCGATCCGATCCGAATCTGAATCGATCAGAGATCTAGTTTAGCCGTACTCCTTGGTCGCCATTCCGACTTGGGGAGCTTAAAGCCCAATCCAATCCAAGAATCGAAGGAGTAGAGTTCACGGCCCGTTCAAAACTCCAGCGCTTAATGCAAGGCAAGAATCTACAATGAGGAATATCAATAATATATTTCAAATATACATACATATATTTATATAGGCTTAGCGATTCATATGCCAGCAATACTGGCAGACAACCACAGAAACAAACAACAAACAACAACGTCTAGTAAACAAGAGATTACATTTATACGAATACATATTATATTCTGCAAGTATGTAAAAGCGCGCAATATGAATGTCCTTTCCCGCTTTCGATTCCACTTAAAGAAGAACTTGAAAGTAGCGAGCCGGAGGATTTAAGCAAAAGTAATATTTATCAAATAAACCAAATTGAACTTTAGGTTTTAAAGTTTTAAAACGTAGAGCATACCCATACACACGTGCATGTGCATTATGTTCGTTATTTACCAATGCGGAAAATAAAATATTAAAAATGAGATCGCGCGTTAACCAGTTAAACAGAAAGCATGACATTAATGGCAACACAATATTATATATGTAAATATATGTGTTTATGCATACATATATATGTATATTTATCGCATAGAAATAACACCAAAGATACATGCATGTTAGCAGAAATAACAAATAAATAAATAATTACCGAACTAAATTGGGTTTTTAACTTACATTTTTAAACATACTTCACCAGTATATATTTAAAAAAAAACAATAAAATTTCAGAAACATCATGAATCGGTCGGATTCTGGGGATTCATTTTAATTAAAGCTTTCTCCCAGTATATTTGAAGAGGTTTCTTTGTTATCTGTAATTAAACTTTTCACCAAAAGCTCGAACTACTGATAACCGCTGGTTTAAATTGATGTAATCGAGAAACAAATTTAGAAGGGAATTAGTTTCCAACAGCAGAGCAAACTACACAGACTTGCCATGAATCGCTGGTTGAATCGCGTTGCCGTAGTCACAGGAGCCAGTGCTGGAATCGGAGCAGCCTGCTGCCGAGATCTGGTGGCCAAGGGAATGGTGGTAGTGGCATTGGCGAGGAGGGACAAGGTCCTTAAGGACATAAAATCCTCCCTGCCCGCCGATCAGGCTGCCCGGTTCCACTTTCGCCCTTGTGACGTCAGCAAAGAGCAAGAAGTCGTTGATGCCTTCGCTTGGATCGACAAAACTCTGGGCGGTGCTGACGTGCTTATCAACAACGCGGGGATTGTGCGAAACACCACCCTAACGGATCTGGGCAACTCGGATGATTTGCGGGCCATCCTGGAGGTCAATGTGCTGGGAGTGACCTGGTGCACCCGCGAGGCGTTCCAGTCGCTGCAGCGCCGCAAGGTGAACGATGGCCATGTGGTGATCATCAACAGTGTGGTGGGTCACAAAGTGCCTGTGGTGGAGGACTTCAGCTGGAACATTTACCCGGCCTCCAAGCACGCCATCACAGCGTTGGTAGAGGTCCTGCGCCAGGAGTTCAACCAAAAGGGCACCAAGACCAAGATTACTGTGAGTAGAGCTAACTGACTAATTAACCCCACATACTCATTCACAAATTGTAATGCAGAGCATCAGTCCCGGCGTGGTGGCCACTGAGATCTTCGAAGCCGGCTCATGGGAGTACCCAACTGGCAGGCCAATGCTTCGATCGGAGGAAGTTGCCGATGCAGTGAGCTATTGCATCCAAACGCCACCCAATGTGCAGATCCATGAACTGATAATCAAGCCAGTGGGCGAACACTTCTAAAAAGTTTATTCCGATAAGCAACAATGCATCTTATCTTAAAAATTAGTAATCGGGATGTCACTTATGAGGAGGTTTAATTGAAAAGTCTATGCAGTAAATACTCAATTGAAAACTCAAGCACACTATAAATTTTATAACAACTTGATAAGAATAAAAGCGTAAGCAAAATCATTTTTATAAAAAAATTAATTGAATCGAATTTATAGCTAAACCAAATGAAATACATTGTTTGTATTGAAAGGTTTTTATTTTAAATTAAAATAGTTTTGACAACCATTAAAACATTTGTTGGTGGAGACTACCGGGAGCCGAATTTCAGCCCAGAGTTAAAACGTTTGTTCAATATGTTTGTTTACCTACGGCAAACCATTATCAAAAGGTTTCTTTATTATCTGTAATAAAGCTTCTCGCAAAAAAGGCCGATCTACTGATAACCATTAAGTTGATACAATATATTCTAGAAAGACCTTTTGAATGAAAACGTTTTTAAACAGCAGAGCAAACAACCCAGACTTGCCATGAATCGCTGGTTAAATCGTGTTGCCGTCGTAACAGGTGCCATTTCTGGAATCGGAGCAGCTTGTCGCCGAGACCAGGTGGCCAAGGGAAAGGTGGTAGTGGGATTAGCCAGGGGCAAGGTCCATCAGGAAATAAAAGCCTCTCTGCCCGCCGATCAGGAGGTTAAGTTCTACAATCCCTTGTCACGTCAGCAAAGAGCGAGAACTACAGGACTACAGCTTTAACATGTACCGGTCCTCTAAGTAAGTACGTGAATGCTGCGTTAACCGATACCAAGGATACTGTGAGTTTGGCTCACTGTTTGAGCCCAAAAATCTTACCTTAATTTAATTTTCACTGTAATTTTTGAAGCTAGTTCATTTGATTACCCATCTGGCGTGTACATGCTTTGATCGGGGGACATTTTCGATGCAGTGATTTATTGCATCAAAACGCCGCCAAATGTTCAGATACATGAACTGATAATCAAACCTGTGGGCGAATGCTTTTGAAGTTTCAATTTAGATAAGAAAGTCAAGCAGCCACTTATAAACTCAGGAAATAGAAATGTCATTCTGTTTACGAGGTCGTAAAAATAAAAAAATTTTAATTGTAATGACAATGCAGTAAATACTCAATTTCATTTCATTTCAACTTGAAATCTGTTAGCTTGCAATATTTGTGAGATTTTATATACCTATAGTTAAAATTATTTAACATTAATAACTGGAAAAAAATATTTTTGTACAAATTAGAGATGTTTCTGAATCACAATATTTAAGTTTAGTCTATCTGCATCAAAACAGTTTTAAAGTCTACATTTCAAACTTGGCGCTTTATATGTTTATCGGTAACGATGTTAAACGCCCGACTGTTTAATCGGATTAAAAGAATTACAATTTCTTGAAACAAATTTGATTTATTTAAAAAAAAAATGACATATTATCCTGAACTTTTATCGCGCGCCACTTGATAAACCGAATAATTAATTCAAAAATGTCCAATAAGCTGTAACTTTTTTTTGGCTAAAACGTAATCGAGCGGTCGATAGGCAGTGATCTAAATAGATCTAAAGTAAGTCATTAAGCTTTAGCAACCTTGGATGAGGTCTTTGTCAAAAGGGCTATTTTCAATATAGACTTTTCGCCATGAACCGCTGGTTAAATCGCGTTGCTGTCGTTACTGGTGCCAGTTCTGGAATCGGAGCAGCCTGCTGCCGAGACCTGCTGGCCAAGGGAATGGTGGTAGTGGGATTGGCCAGAAGAGAGCACCGGCTCCAGGAGCTAAGATCCGGTTTGCCCTCCGATCAGGCAGCTCGTTTTCATGGGCGTCCCTGTGACGTCAGCAGCGAGCAACAGGTAGGAGACGCCTTCGCTTGGATTGACAAAACTCTGGGTGGGGCCGATGTTCTAGTCAACAATGCCGGGATTGTGCGGAGTATCAACCTTACGGATAAAGGAAACTCAGATGATGTTCGTGCCATACTGGACACTAATGTTTTGGGCGTGACTTGGTGCACCCGGCAAATGTTCCAATCGCTGCAGCTCCGTAAGGTGAACGATGGTCATGTGGTGATCATCAATAGTGTGGTGGGTCACAAGGTGCCCGTGCTGCCGGGCTTGAGCCTTAACATGTATGCACCTTCCAAGCACGCGATCACTGCCTTAACCGAGATTCTACGCCAGGAGTTTATCAACAAGGGCACCCAAACGAAGATAACCGTGTGTATATTTTTCTAAGTTAAGAGTAATATTCACCATACCACCTTCCACTCTCCAGAGCATCAGCCCCGGCGTCGTGGACACGGAAATCTTTGACAAGAACTCCCTGGAGATGGTCTCCAGCATGCCCATGCTGAAATCGGAGGATGTGGCCGATGCAGTCTCATATTGCATTCAAACACCTCCGAATGTCCAGATCCATGAGCTCATCATTAAGCCAGTGGGAGAACGCATCTGAATTGCTTTTTGTTTCTCAATAAGGAAATTAATATGCTTACATATGTCCGGTACGACAAAATACACCTACAGGTGGTTGGAAACTATATTATTAAGCAGACAGATCGAATGTGAAGTTATTAAATAAAATTATATTATTACTTTTGGGAAGTTATGCCTGTAAAACTAAATTTTCTAAAAAATTATAATGTAGTGCTTCTGATTTTATGGTCCGATAATTTGTTTACATTAAATATAATAAGGTATAACTTAGTTGCAGAATCGAGAAAAATTTAAAATTTGAATATTTTGATATAGCGATTCATACACAACTATCGATTCTTGGCGAATTATCCAGTGCTTATATCGAAACCGCGTTAACGACGTTGTTCAACACTTGCTAGCCAGCAGTCGTAGTTGTCGGGATTGTTTTTTAGTTTAATATTTCTCAACTTTTAGACCATTGATTGCCCGATTGGTCAACATTTCCAAATTGCAACAAATTCAGTAGAGCCATATTTCACGGTTTTCAACGCCGTCGCGTTTCCTTGTTCGTACCAAAGCTAATTGAATTACCCACGCACACAGACTCAATCTGTCCATCGCCTGCGTCATAAGTTATTTTTGTCGACAAATCCAAAAATCCAGAACATGGACCCAAAACAACAAAATCCCCAGGAGGCGGTGGCGTCCGTAGCCCCGCTACTGGAGGATCAGCTGGAACTGGACATGAAGCACTGCTTCGAGAACCTGATTGTGATCGATGTGGGTGCAAATTTGACCAACAAGAAGTATAGCCGTGATCTGGATTCCGTGGTTCAGAGAGCCAGAGACGCAGGTTTGTTGTAGCGAATTATATAGGCGCCACTAATGAGACCCGGGCAGTGTCTTCGTTTTGGGGCGAGGCTGTGAAAACACCCCAGACAAGCAGAAGGTCAGGCGATAAGTGAGCAACAAGTGTGCAGCTGTGGCAAATGTTTTGTTCTTCCCTTGCAGAGGGTATATTGATTTCTTTAAAGTGTTGGTTGGCTTAGTTGTTGATTTAAAGACTTTGCAATACGATAAATAACAAAATTCAATGGTTTAAATATAGCTGCAAGGGTATTTTCACTTCGGGTTGTTTCTGTTTTTCCTTCTCTATGAGGCACAGAGCAAGGTGCACTAACTTTCTCCTATCTTATCTTCTTAGGTGTTCAGAAACTAATGGTTCACGGCACTTCGGTCAAATCGAGCAAGGAAGCGCTGCGCCTCTCGCGCATCTATCCCGACATTATTTACTCGACTGCTGGCATTCACCCGCACGACTCCAAGTCCATTGTGGAGGAGCCGGCCACGTGGTTTGATCTGGAGCACATTGCCCAGGCGCAGGAGTGCGTGGCGGTCGGGCCCTGCGGCCTGGACTACCAGCGGGACTTTTCCGAACCGGACGCCCAGAAGCAGATCTTCGCCAAGCAGCTGCACCTGGCCATCCGGTTAAACAAACCTCTACTGATTCACGAGCGGTCGGCTCAGCACGACTTACTCGAAATACTCGACAAGTACTATCCGTATTCCCGGCTTTTCAAACTTCTAACCTGTTTTACTTGCAGATTCGAGAACCTGCCGCCTGTGATTATTAGAGGTTTCATGGGCACCGCCGAAGAGGCGCTCAAATACCTGGAGCGTAGGTTCTACATCAGCCTGACTGGCTACCTATGCAAGGATAAATCGGATACTGGAGTGCGAAGACTGCTGGAAGACGGAACATTGCCGCTGGATAGACTGCTCGTGGAAACGGATGCTCCGTTCATGTACCCGAACACAAGAGCTTCCAAATTGCCGCAACACGTTAAAACGGGCATCACCGAACGCTCTTTGCTGTACTTACACAGGTGAGAAAGTTACCATAACTAAACTCGGACTGTTAGCTAAAGATCTTGCCTTTTTAAGATATTGTACCTTCCAACGCAACGAGCCCTGCAGTTTGCCCGCCATTGTGGAGATGATAGCCGCCTTTATGAAGAAAACTCCCGATGAGGTGGCTCTGGCTACAGCCTTTAATGCCTTGAAACTTTTCGGTTTGTCCTAGACCAGAAACAGAGCCCCACGGTTCTGAACGAGAAAGTGTGCCAACCAGCAGCTTTACAACCGTAACACTATAGATTGAACGAGCCTGAGATTCACGATAGACTCATACCTAAGTGCCTTAACCACTAATCGAATTCAGGATAAAGCGCTCATCCTGATCCCCACACATACACACACCCACAAAACGACCGCATTGCATGCAAAACGTACGTATACGTATATACCCATATAATCACCCCATGCCGTAAGGTGCAAACTATCGATCGAAGTTTGCAGGGTTTAGCTTTAAGTTGTTGGAGTTGTCTCCCAAGCAATTGCTTTATTTACTCGAGTACCCCTGAAAAACGGTGCCAAGGTGGTGCCAAGTGACCGTTGACTCCGGATTTGCACTGGATCGGCGTTTCACGCCTCGAAGCGCGCGCTTCGAACTCGCTTCCGAAGCGTAGATAAAGATGTTAAGTGCTGCAGCTTGTCTTTTGTTTGTTTCTTCTGTATTTAAGCTAGAATTATTACTTTTAGATTGTGTCTCTGTTAGCATGTAGTCGTATTTTTGTACATATTTATTCTTGTTGCGACGATGACGATGATGATGATGATTATGGGAAACGTAATGTGATCATTTTAAGAGCTAAATATTTATATGATATTCAACAAACAAACACGCTAGTTAGGCTATGAAACATATTGAATATCTTGCGCCTATACATACTATATTTTGTTATATTTACATACATATACAAAAGCGTTGTACTGAACTGATCGACCCGCGGAGGTTGCATAAAATCCGCTTTGTGCCCATTGTCCGCACACAGACACACACTATTTTCCATTTGAATAAAGCGAATTTGAAACCCAAACGAACAAAGGCCCGCTTTAAGACGTCATATCGTGTATATTTTTGGTTGGTTAGCACACTTAAAAGCGTTGAATATTGTTTAAGTCCTCGAACTGCTCCAGCCGATGTAAATTGTCCCACCACAGTTTTAGGCGGTGCTGCAGAATGAGGGAAAACCAGGGGGTCAGCGGGGCACTGAACTTGGCCACCGCCTCGTCAATCTTCTCGCGCCGTAAGTAGCGCACTTCGCTGACCTCATTGCTATTGGGTCGCAGGGTCACGTCCTTTTGTAGAAACAGGATGTAGTCAATCTCGTGCTCGCCCCACACTCCATCGCCGGTGTCCGCATAGTGAATGCGAGTCAGGTAACGAAAGTCCTGCGGTTGCAGCTCGTCAGTTGGAATTCCCAGTTCGTAGTTAAGCCTTCGCTGGGCGGCCAGTCGAATTCCCAAAGCGTTGTCCTCCTGGCGCTCCTGCTCAATCTCGTGAAGGGGATGACTGCAGCAGGCATTGGTGTAAGTGTTCGGAAAGGTAATCTGCGGATATGCTTGATTATGCACCGTGCAAAAAGGGGATTTCCCAAAGATTTCACCTTGTGAGACGAACGCTTCTGCACTAGCATCTCTCCCTGGGAATTGAACAGGAAAACACTAAAGGCGCGATGTAGTTTAACATCCGAAGTTTTCGGGTGCACCCTGTGGCAGTCAGCCTTGGAGGCAGAACCAATCGCCTGATCGTTTGCGTCCACCAGGATGCACTGCTCATTTAAGGCATGAGCCTGAAGCGGATCGTGAACCGATTCCGTGGGCACCTGACGCTGCTGCTGCTGGCCCGGTGCAGTCGTGGAGGAGCAGCGCAGCCAAGACAGACGGGGCAGAAGGAGATTCCAGCGAGGGGCCAACATTTTTGGTAAATGACTAGTTTCGAGTGGGGGCCAAAACAAATATGAAAGTGAAACTTCGTAATACAGCGCGGCGGTACTGCCAACTCGCCCACTTTCGCCGCGGCCACTTTGCAGCACTACGCTGCGAACAGCTGTTTCACAGAAACGTCAGCCCTGGTCTTAGTGATACACAATTTGCTCATAATCAGTTTTTCGCTTCCGTCGCCGAACGATAAAATTGTAAATAGCCAAGCAGCTGCCTGAGCAAAATTCCATAAAATGGTGAGCACACAATCAGCTTAATGTTGGAACTTCTCTGTTACTCTCTTTTCGCCCAGATCCGCTTCATACTCATACAAAACCGAGCTGGAAAAACTCGCTTGGCCAAGTGGTACATGAACTTCGACGATGACGAGAAGCAAAAACTTATTGAGGAAGTGCATGCTGTGGTCACAGTGCGCGATGCCAAGCACACAAACTTCGTGGAGGTGGGATAAAGCTTACAAGTCCTAATGAAAACCCCAAATTAATGGATTGCCTTCCCCAGTTCCGCAATTTCAAGATCGTGTACCGACGTTATGCGGGCCTGTATTTCTGCATCTGCGTGGACGTGAACGACAATAACCTGTGCTATCTGGAGGCCATCCACAACTTTGTGGAGGTGCTGAACGAATACTTCCATAACGTGTGCGAGCTGGACCTGGTATTCAATTTCTACAAAGTGTACAGTGTGGTGGACGAGATGTTCCTGGCGGGCGAGATCCGGGAAACCTCGCAGACGAAGGTGCTCAAACAGCTGCTCACGCTGAACTCTCTGGAGTAGGTCCGCTGGATGGGACTTACAAGAACAGGATCGCCAGATGCATTCCCCCAGGCGTTATACCCGCTTATCGAATCTTCTTTCATATACTATTACGCGTATTATTATTATTATCTATAATGTGTTCTCTATGCAAACACTCAAATGTTAAAAGCCGTGTTTAGAAACAATGATGTACCATAAGAGATTGTATGCAAGTGCAAAGCTATTAACTCCATTTTATTGGGGGTGTTGGGGGTCAGTTAGTGATTTTTCTTTTTGGTTCCGCCCACTCACCTCCGGTGGCAAGTGCCTGTGCAGCCCTGGTCGGAAAGAGGGCCACGCGCACTTTCCAACACTGTCCACTAATGCCACTTCGTCATTTTTTCAGTCGCCATTGTTCTCGTTCTCGGCCGTCGAATTTGTGGAAATAAACGTATTTCCCTTTTAAATTCGTTGCGATAAACACAAAAGCGACCTACAAAACACAACACAAACCAAGTGCGTGTCGATTTCCAGTAATTCGGAACGCGACAGTCGAGTAAAAGCGGTCAAAACAGCAGCCAGTCCAGGCCAGAAATCGAATATTTGTTCGTGGCAAATATATAATCTGTGAAAAGCCAGAAAATGTCATCTGTGAATCCGGAATAGTAAGTCGTCACTCGCAGTAATTGCGCATATTTAGCTTGAAAGTGGTGACTGGCTCTCCATCGAGACACTTCCTCGCCTGGCCTTCGATAATAGTTTCTTTTATTTTTTTCTGCGACGTCATTTCTGCTACGTTTCATTCCATTCATCAGCGAGCAGCCCCACTCCCTTTTCGCCTTCGTTGGCAACTCCAAAAAACAGACGATTCGCTGAAAACAAAAAACAGACTTAACAACCGCCCCAAACCAGAATCGAAATCAAGAGTGTTTTAGCAAAGAATTGAATGAAAATGCATACATACGAGCGGGGATGCGATAGCAAACTTTGAACGCCAGTGAAAATCGCGTTAATTGTTGCTCTCTGACTCCGAAACGACCCTATATACGTATACTTATAGTCCGGATCCCAGAAGGCGAGCCAAATCGCTGGGCGGATGAGTCACCTGCGTGGAGAGCGATTCCCACCCCCAGCGCAATGCTACGTAATCAAAAACCATTCTAGTTCTCCTTAATTGCTTTCTCTCACTTAGGGGCAATTAAAGCCCCGATCTTGATTCGTCTAGAAAGTCTCCTCAAATCGCCAGCATTTAGCAGACTGTAACATTATCAAACAACCAGAATTGGGGGGTTGATGTTGGACACAACGCGATAAGATAAAGGCCTCGCGCAAACTGGTTTTATGCATATTCAGAGACTAAACTCAGCCCTTCACGAACCTATCACATTCTATAAATTAATCTCTTGGTTTAACGCATCAAACTGATTTCTTCTTAAATCTGCATTCCTCAAAACACACACACATACGAAAGTCTTAAATGTTGACCTTTGTATCTTGTATAATTTCATCTCTTATGTTCGATACTTGAGTGAACTAAGTTGTATACATAAAATACATTTCCCTTTCCACAGCGACTATCTCTTTAAACTGCTCCTCATTGGCGACTCGGGCGTTGGAAAGTCCTGTCTTCTGCTGCGATTTGCCGATGACACATATACAGAGAGCTATATCAGCACAATCGGAGTAGATTTCGTAAGTGAACCAGAATGTTGTGAATACTCTTTATGTCTGACTCATAAAACCTTTATCTTGCAGAAAATCAGGACCATAGAACTCGACGGAAAGACCATTAAACTGCAAATCGTAAGCATACAGTGGGCGGAGGCAGTGCAGAACAGAGATAACTTGATACTTTTCAGTGGGATACTGCTGGCCAGGAGCGCTTCCGCACCATCACGTCGTCATATTACAGGGGCGCCCATGGCATCATCGTCGTATACGATTGCACGGACCAGGAGTCCTTCAACAATGTGAAGCAGTGGCTGGAGGAGATCGAGCGGTACGCCTGCGAGAATGTCAACAAGCTGCTGGTGGGCAACAAGAGCGACTTGACCACCAAGAAGGTCGTCGATCACACTACAGCTGCGGTGCGTATAGATCTAGTTTTATCAGTGTGATTCTGATGGGCGTACCTAACGGATATATTGTTTTGTCGACCCTGCAGGAGTACGCTGCCCAGTTAGGCATTCCATTCCTTGAAACTTCGGCTAAGAGCGCCACCAACGTGGAGCAGGCCTTCATGACGATGGCGGCCGAGATCAAGAATCGCGTCGGACCGCCGTCAAGCGCCACCGACAACGCTAGCAAAGTGAAAATCGATCAAGGACGTCCAGTGGAAAACACCAAATCCGGTTGCTGCTGAATAACTCTGATTGTGAATCATTATTTTATTATACAATTAAACAAAATTTAAATATAATAAATTAAAACGGAAACCACACAATAATAATAAAACAGAAGCGAAAACGATGGCGAAAACTCAAAATCGTAATCATAATTAATTAACTAATTCTGTAATAACAATAATGATGAGGAATGACGAGTAGTGCGTTTGTATGATCCTAACCGTGATCCAATTCGATAAACACTTTAAGCAAATATGTATTAGGTACGTAGCCAACAACCAGATCCAGATTTCAGACATCCCCACACACTCAAAAGCAAGGACATCGGTCCTGATACTAACCGTCTTTCTGATTTCAGCAGTTCTGTTCATAAGTAGTGCAAAGCAAGCAAAATCGGTGTAGCAATTAACTTAATATAACTCTAACCTACAGTAAGAAGTTACCTATCACAGCAGCGCGAAAAGATACCGAAACCAATATGTACTATTTAACTACACTACATTAATTGAGCGGAGGCGACGGCAAGAGCAATTATACTTGTACTGTGTCAGCTACTACTTACCACTATGTAAACATATGTATGTGTTTAAATTGCAAATACAATTTTCTAAACAAATTATCTCTAGCGAAAGTGCTCGCCACTTGTCTCTGTCATATTGAAATTTTATGTAAATCGAAAGGAACCCAAAACCGAACGAACATTTTTAGAATTAACGTCGAGCGATTGTGTGTTTGTATTTTCGTGTGACGCAAGGGATTTGTTTAGGCACATAATTAGTGTAATAATGACGACATAGCGATGAAGTTGAATAAAAATTATTGCGTGAGCGTACATATATAAATTGAAAGGTTTGGGATCAAGGACACAAGCATACACCTTAGTTTCGGTTTTCACTGTCGCCCGAATTTGAATCTTAATTTCGCTTAAGTCTAATAAAATCGATCTGTACCATTGCCTATAAACGATTTGTTTTATTCCCCAGTTTTGGACGAATTCCAAAGACTTAAGTGAAGGCCGGAACCTAAACACTTGGCATTCATTTTGAGTGAATGAACCGATTTCTGCGGCTAAGTGTATACCCTTTAAACAATGGGTTTCAAATCTTAGTGAGCTGAAATAATAATCGGTTAGACTTTGTTTAATCAATTAACCAATGACATTTAATTTATAAATACTATACTTAACATATTTTAAAATCGAAGATTTTTTCTTTGCTATCAAAATAAAAAAAATGACTGCCAATTTTTGCCTGACCATTATTGGCAGATATAGGATAATGTTGTCCGATCTAAAAATTTAAAGAAGTTCTCTCATAGTTTGTAACCTAGTATGAAATTGTGACTTGCTAGCTTAAATAATGCCGATAAGGAATATACACTTTACTTCGTTTAAAAAAAAAGTTGTTTTTAAATTAAGAGTTTAATGTAAAGAGTGATTACCTTGGTAACTATTAGGACTAACAAATTATCTCATTCATTTAATACGTAAGGGCAACATACATATATTAATATATTTAAAATTTTATTAGTATAATTTTAATACGAATTCAATGAACAGAAATTCTGTTATTTCTGTTACACAAACCTTAAATAGGGATTTTATGGCATCAGAAAGCTTTGATCCAAGAAGTGATAAAATTATTGTATGGCTATAAGTTTACCTTTCTTTGCGGCTTACTCCGTTATGTGCATCGGAATCAGTTTGTCGTACACACTTTATCCTTTTAATGGTTTCAAAAACATCTTCTCTAGCGTTTATTGACTTCTGAGGTACTTCAGTCTTTACAACAAAATTTCTTCTAAATCTATGACTATTTGCTGTTGGAATTTGACTAAATACTTGAACGGTGGCTGGCAGTGGGGGTTGTATTCGAGGATGGTCTTCAGATCTTGCTGGCCCGTCGCTCCTGCAGGCAGGCGGTTGTAACGGTGGCGGCCGTCGTCCCGATGATGGCGGCTCCCAGGATGCCCCGTTCCCGTTCGCTCAGGCCGGAAATGGAGAGGCTGTTGCTGCGCCACGCGGAGGAGGATGTGGTGCGTTCCGTGCCCGAGGAGGTGGATATGGAGTTGATCAGGAAGGTGGCCTCGCGGCGGAGAGTGCGACGTGGATGTCGCGTACCGGTGGAACCCGCCAGCGTGGCTCCCTCCTCGGCATCTTGCTCCTGCCGCCTCGACGCAGTGCGTCCACTTCCGCCCGCCGTTGGGTTTTGCCGCTGGTGGTAGTGGTGGCGGTGATGGTGGTGATGCGGCCTCTGGCCCAAGCAACTCAGCAGCAGCCGCCAGAAGCCGCTGCGGAACTTGGAGGACATCAGGTTGTACAGGATGGGGTTCATGGCCGAGTTGAGGTAGAGCATAAAGCGCGAGAAGTACAGCAGGTTGTAGTAGCCGGCGATGCCCAGGTGCTCCACGTCCTCGGCGCTAGCCAGGATCACCCACAGGGTGAAGGCTCGGAAGGGCAGCAGGCAGACGAAGAAGCTGGAGACGACGGCCACCAGCATGAAGATGACCTGCTTGCGGTGCTTCCGCATCCCGTTGCTCTGCTGGTGGCTGTTGCCCTTGGAGCTGGGCGCCTGGGCGGATGCAGTGCCTCCCGGCGGCTGCTGGGGCAGAGGCTGCGGGGAGGTGGGCCGGTGGAAGGCGTTGTTCGGACGCAGCAGCTTGTAGGCGATCGCGGCGTACAGGAGGAGCAGGATGCCGAAGGGCAGGAAGAAGAACACCGTGATGCTGCCCACGAAGTAGAAGATCGGCCAGAAGCCGTCGGCGGCGGTGGTGCAGACGGGGGCATCCGTTCCGTCTCCGTAGGGCTCCACGCTGTAGCTGGATATGGCGATGATGGGACTGCAAGAATCATTATTTTCATATTAGACGGAGGGAGCGTGGCAATCGGTGGCTGGTTTGTCTGCAAAGTTTTTGTTAGCGCGCTGCGAGCGGGAGACAAACAAATATTTAAAAGCTACTCAACGGCTAACTACTGGAAAAGTTTCGGGGCGAAGCACTCAACTTAATCACACAGCGGAAACGGAAACGGCAGCGTCTGCTCATACTCATCGCAATCGCAGGATGCGGTGGGTTCTACTAGCTACTTCATAACTTTACAAAACGAATCAAGTCTACGTCATAGGGCTACGAAAACAAATTAAAAAGCAACGCGTACGTTACGTATACGTAGTATATTTACAGAGGACGGAGGACCGGCACTTGTTCGGTTTCCTTGGAATTATACAAATTACACTGCTGCTTGCGAAATGATTAGAGATTCCGGTTGGATGGGGTAATGTTGAAAAGCCGGTTCCTTTGACCCGTCATGAGTTGTCATAAAAAATTTATTTACTTACAAACTCTTTGCTCTTTTCGAGTGTGTGTGTGTGACGGTGTGGGTGTGCGTGTGCTAGGTTGTATTTATAAGCAGAGTATAGTATGTATTATATATATAAATATGTTCGTACAAATATAAATATTAATATTGAGCTATGTTCGTGGTGTGTGTGTGTGTGTGTGGTGTATGTACATCTGTGTTTACATGGGAACATCGTGTGCATATTGAGCTAAGCTTTTTACTTGAGCCGCCGCCAAGTAGGCAACAGTTTTTTCGGACATCCGGTGATGGCCGCTCGTGTAATGGCGGCCATTTTGTTCGGCTTACGGAAACTATTTCAATACACCTAAATCATGTTTATCCGCCGCCCCGATGGGTTACCCGTATTAAGCCATTTTCATTTCCATTTCCCGCCTAATGGCTTACCCCCGTGTACTATATATTCCGTATCTCGAACACGATTTCGACTCCACGAACTCTGACCAGAAGTAGTCGTGGTCGTAGTTGTAGTGCCGTTCGGCTGTCGTTGCTGTTATTTATCTTTGGCACATTCATTCGAGTTTAATAGCCCGAAAAATTGATTGTTTTTTGTACGGAAATGTCCGAGGCGGCGGACGAAACTTCGACGTTTTGGGAGCTGTCAACGGCTGACTGAAATCGATTACGCCTGCCAAAGGCGTTCAGGATGCGATTTGTGTGTTTGCCAGGATCAGCGTCATCGGCACATTCCAGTTAACTGAAGCGAGTGTGTAAACGGGTTACGGGCGATTTTTCACGCCCATCTCCTCCATTAGGGATTCCCTTGCTCGATTCCCTCGGGCAGATTTACTATTCCTGCTATTCTAGTGAGATTTTCCCGACCTTCTGGGATTTTCCTATCGCTCAGTTCCTCTCCCTCCAGCGCCTCTTCATCGAAACTTATTTGTGGCTTGTGGCGTCGCGGTTGGGGGTTTCTCATGGCCAAAAGCCGGCTGTCGCTCACCCGCCTGGCCATTCCCCTGCCCATCGTCGAGTGCTGCAGCATGGCCATGACCTCCAAGTCACTGCCACACGGCATCTGCAGCTCAATCTTCAGGCGAGTGCGACTGATGTCCTCGCTGCATCTGCGGTTGGAACTTCGTGACAAGATGCTCGAATTCGTGGCTGCAGTGGCATTGGAGGAGTTGGTGTTCGTGTTTGTGTTAGTGCCCATTCCAAGGGTCAAGGTGCCACTGCGACCGCGAGAGGAGTTCTCCTTCCTCCTTCCCAGGGTGACCAGATCCAGGAGTAGTCTGCCCGCATCCTGGCACAGCCGCTTGAAGCCCCTTCGAAACTTCGTGGACATCAGGTTGTAGAGAATGGGGTTCATGGCCGAATTGAGGTACAACATGATGCGGCAGAAGTAGAGCAGGCTGTAGTACCGCACCAACCCGAGATCGTGGAGAGTCTGGTCCGTGCTGAGGATGATCCACAGGGTGAGCACGCGGAAGGGCAGCAGGCAGACGAAGAAGGAGAGCACCACGGCGCCGAGCATCAGGACCACCTGCTTGCGGGCCTTCAGACTGAGTTCCGGCTTTGTGGGACGGGCACGCAGCATGGCCGCCCGGTTGGAGACCAGGTTCCGGGCAATTATGCCGTACAGCACCACCAGCGTGACGAACGGCAGGACGAAGAACACGGAGATGGTCATCAGGAAGAAGGCCAGGGTCCAGTGGCTGATGGCCTGCGTGAGGCACACGGCCACCGAGGATCCGTCAACGTACTCGGCCATCTTGTACTCGGCCACCCAAAGAATGGGGCTGCTCGGGGAAATCGCAGAGTGGGAGAAAAAGCAAACGAGAAACGTAATCAGGTGGCGGGGTCACCGGGGAGTGGATAATGGATACTGGATACTGGATACGGTTGGAAATCGGTGGGAGAAGGCTCAGAGTGGCGGGAAAAAATAGAGGAAGAGGAGGAAGAGAAAGGCGGGAGGCAGGAAGAGAAGCAGCAATTGATGATGATGAACCAATGACAATGAGGGAAAGGTTAACCGAGTCTGGGATGAAGTTCAAGTGTCTAATGAACCTGTCTGGCCTGGAGCCCATTTTTATGACCTGATTGCCTTTATGGGTTTTTCATTTCATGGGGTCAGCCCTGTAAATTAAATTCCAAAAGGAAAATCACAGATAACCTGCTAATATGAACGTTTAGGAATGATAGTGCGAGTAAAACACAAATCAAACTCAATAAAATTGATTTAAGGTGCGAATTGCTTTAACAAATGTACATATATGAATGTAACTATTTTTATAAATACATATGAGCACAAAAAAAAAAAAATATATATTTTATAATTCCAATTAATTTTCCTTCTACTTACCAAAACCTTAAGGGACATTAAATAAAAGTGTTTGGATGAACTCAAAATTTAATTTTAAATCACGTTTTAAACGTCCCATTTATCATCAGAAAGTCACAAATGTGATCACATTTACTTACATGGAGATTAATGAACAGATGTCGACGTGGTGGTGGCGTTTACTCGGATAAGCATACATTTTCCTTTGACTCTCTAAATATTTCCACCGAACAAACAAGTTTAAATGTTCGTTTATTTTGCGAAACCCGAAACGCAGATTAAACAGTTCCCTCCATCCCCCCGAAAATCCCCGGCTAGACCGAAAAAATATGATAGTCAACAGGCGGTGGCTGTATTTTTATGACGATGATCCGGGCGTTTTGGACGTGCGTCAGCGATTTGCCACGCCTCCCTTTTTTTTTGCTGCGCCCATGGGCGACGTGTGGCGCGTCGGTTTGAATGTGTTTTAAAATGTTTGTCCGCCTCCGTTGGCCGTTGGCTTCTTGCGTGGCGTAATTAATGGGTCTCGGCCTGGAGGCGGGTGTTCTCCCACGGTCCCTATTTTTTCCGTGACTCCCAAACACCCGGAATGCCCAATAGCCGGACGGAGAGGTCAGTGGCCGAGTCGACAATGTGCTGTTTATTTCATTGTTATGGACGCGGCAAGATTTGCAAAATTAAAAAGGGTCGCCGCTCGTCCTTGGACGAGGCCTACAATAATAAAGTGTCAATGAAATGAAATCCATGATAGCGGACATCGGTGCTTATTAAAGATGACAGGGCGCTGATAACGGGAAAAGCTCCAGAGCGGACAAAGGCCGTCTGGAACTTGAGGCGAAGGATGTCAGTGGGAATGATGATGTGCGGGCAGGAAAGGCAGGAGTGCAAATAGAATAGATAGAGGGACAGTCGCAGTTTAGCATGTAAATGGCCACGCCGATGGCCCACACAAAGGGCCAAATACCAAGGCCAGAGATTCCGCCAAGAAATGGAAAGTAAACAAAACGAAACGAAACGAAAAATGCGGAAAACCCAAAAACAAAACACAAATCATTAAAATGACGGCGATTGACACTTATAATTAATGAGCAGCGAACTGAATGCCCGACTGGGCAAAATGAATAAATGGAAATAAGCCATTAACTAGATCTAATAAGGATAAAATCGTGTGTAAATAGGACAACCAACACCAGACAGCATGCAAACTAAGTGTACGAGTCCCGAAAAATAAAACACTAATGTCTAATTAAATTTAAGAGAAGTGGGGGAGCTGAAAAGTACGAGTATGGGGTTCATTGCACTGGAGCTCCTTGAATCCCCAGACCAGAGCCGACCACTTACCTCGTAAAGAGCGCAGCGATGCCCCAGGCCAGAACGCAGATGAGGATGGCCCGCCCCTTGGTGCAGACGTAGCCGGCCTTTAATGGCTCGCAGATTGCGTAATAGCGCTCGAACGAGATGGCCAAGATGGTCAGCACGCTGGCGTGGGCCACCGTCAGCTCCACGAACGGAACAGCCTTGCCTGGAGGAAGCAGTTAATTAGGCTGGGGAAAATAAACAGACCAGCCAAGGAGGCAAAGGCAGTAGCCACTCACACATCTCGTGGCCTAGGACCCAGGTCTCCGGACGGGTGTTCACCTCCACGAGGACGGTGGGCGTGCAGACGAGCAGGACGAGCAGGTCCGCGATGCTCAGGTTGGTGAGGAAGATGTTCGTCGAGTTGCGCATATCCTTTGTCTTCACAATCACGATGGGCACCTGCAACTCGGAGTGGATTTAAAATGATTGAATGGATTGGACAGCCCCAAGAAGCCTCTTCACTCGTTTAATCCTAGTTTCTGCGGGCTAACAACTGGTGCTCGTCAAACAGAAAATTGTCTTAAACTAATAAATTATTACAAAAGAAGGGAGCCAAGTAAATGGTCTTAAAGAAATAAACAAAACTCTCTTTTTTGATTAAAGATGACATTAAATTGTCTATAAAGTCTTCTAACGCAAATTTCTTTTTATTTTTAAGTATAATAACATGTTTTCTAACTGTGTCTACTACTTTAATGGATAGAAAATGGCTTTTAAATGAAAAGGATTTTCTTAGAAACATAAATAGATTTCAATAATTATTTGGGGTATTTTAGAAATTTGATTACTTAGTAAAGATGTTAATAAATGTAATAGAACTTCTTAAATATATTCTTCATAAATGGAATAAATAATATATTTTCCAAATAAAACAAAAAGTAATGGATGTTTTGTGCACCGAAAAGGGTGAATCACCCTGCGCGCCCTCCGGGCAATTTCCAAACGAATTAATTTCAATTATAAACGCTTTTGCCTACTTTTTGTCATAGAACATAGAAGTAGAACATCAGAGAAGTACAGGCACTCACCATCACGTTGCCCACCACGCCCAGCAGCATGATGACTATGCAGAAGAACATGGCGGTTGTGCGGATATACGATGGAATCTGTGGCAACATCTGCTCAGCATCGGCATCGTCCTTGGGTGTTGCTGCTGCTCCTTCTGCTGCTGCCGTTGTTGCTCCTTCTGCTGCTGTTGCGGCTTCTGGTGTGGCGGTGGGATGAGTTGTTGCTGCGGTGGAGTTGTCCGGGCGGTCAAGTCCTTTGGCTGGAACACGATGAGTTGCGTGGTGTGGGCCATGGCCGCCACCAAGAGAGCCACGGGATACCCCAGCCTGCTGCGACGACGCGGCAGCAGCGGCGGAGGGGATGGAGTGGGTGGCAGCGGGGGGAGTGCATCCTGGGCCCGGAGCAGGACACCGGGACGGAGGAGTAGCAGGAGCAGGAGCCACTGGCGGATCCTCGGGCCTACGCCAATGCTGGTCAGCCGTGGAAGCCGCCCAATCCTGGCCACAGCGACGCCGTGGCTGCCCCTCAGCGGTTGCGGTGTCGGTGTCCTCGTCGTCGTCCTGCGGCACTCAGAGTGTATCGCTCGCAATGGGAATCACAGGAAGACCATTCGGGGATGAGAGATGCTGCCGCCACCGCCCGCTGTTCAATTAAGTGGGTTACGTCCGGACCAAATCCTTTGTAATTGCCCCTCCGGCAAGTTTATGCTCACACTTAAATACGCGCTAATGAAATTAAGTTGTCCAACGGCCCCAATGGATACTCCTCTGCTGCAGAATCCCAGAATCCGGCGGCATTAAACAAATCAATCAGTGGGGCTTTGCGGTTGTCGTCCGCGGCCTCAAGTGGCTGAAACGGCAATGGGATTAGCGTTTAAGTGTCCTGCCCAGGATCAGGAAATAACCGGCCATTGACCAGGCCGGCTAACTAACGATAATGAATGAAAAGTTCATTAGGCGCTGTCATTTACATAACATTAGAGCATCCTGCCCCAGGAGACACTCCTCTCCTCTCATCTCCTCTCCGTTCCGCCATAAACAAGCTCATCACGCGCCCCACAGGACTCTTGACCAAGAGGAACTGGTCCGGAACCCAAAGGCCAGAGGCATCGGATTTAATTGTCAACAGGGTGCCTCTTAAGCTCACTATCTAGGTTGGTTTTTAATCTAATAGTGGGGAGAACGTGAAACCTATGATTGTCTTGGCAACCACTTTGCTCTGTCTTTAAAGGCCTTTAATTTATTTCAATAAACGTTGTGGCAAACCCAAATTCATGCCTATATTCGAAAAGAATGCCAGCAATGATAATAAAAATTTAAATTGTTCCAAGGACGTTTCCCTTAAACGTTTGAATTTCGTTTAAAGAAAGGGCCTTTTATACAATAATGTGGTTACAATAAAAGACACATGGAAAACTAAAAGGCCGAAGATTAAAGTTTTCAATGATTTAAATAGTATTAAGTACTTATTTTACTTGCTTAAGGGAATTCAGGTGTCTGATTAACATTCTTTACGCATAAAATATTAATATATAAAAGAAGTTCATGCTTTCAAACAGATGTATACCAAAAAGGGTATTACAGATGTGGTCAGAGATTGTTTCCTAAAGTTTTTTGTTTTTCTTTTCTCTGTGTAGACTAAGAGGACCTAATATTAACCACGCTAAGCTATAGTTTGATAGTTTGGCGTTAACTGCTTTTTGTTTGATCCCCGAACGACGCTCCTGTCTGGGATGTTTGCTTCCAATCTCGGGTGACAGAGTCGCCCGGCAGACGGCGATTATCGCCGGGAGCCACTGGCGATGGCGTCTGCTCCTCATCGCCATGGTCATCACCATCTCCATCTCCATCTCCATCTCATCCGCCATCGCCATCTTCATCCTCATCAGCCGAATGGCTGTTGTCAGCCAAATGGCTTTATTAAATCCCCATCTTGGCGGCGCGCAACCCGCTTAATTATATCATGTCCATACAGCGACAGAACGCACACAAGTCGCAGGATGTGGAAGGATATGGAAGGATGTGGCCAGGGACAGGGACATGGACACTTGGCCGGATAAACACAGGCTTCCGGTGTTTGTTTGCGATTTAGTGGGTGGCACTGGGGTGTTTAGCGGTCACCCCGAGCAGCGCCATTTTGATTAATTTGATAAATTCATTATGCGCACACCATATTGGCCGGCTCCTGGGGTTTTGTTCCTGTCCGGATGCTCTTCACTATGAGTTTCTGGGTTTCGTCCTTTTTTTCCCCTTTGGCCAAGCTGTGCACTCTGTTTGCTGTGGCCGGGAATCGGGGAATGGGTTGAGGGTTCAATGTCCCCAAATGACATAACAAGGCAGTTTGTGTCACATTTGGCTTAAAAATGCGACTTTAACGATGCCCGGCGAAGGATTATGTCAGGAGTCGAGGACTCGTTATTGGCCATTTTGCTGGGCGTAATTGTTTCGAAAGTTTCGAGTTGGTCATGTAGAAAGACAAATGAATCGTTTCAAACTTTCGGTCGAGAGCCGTGGCCATGGCCATCAATATGGTCCACTTGGCCGAAGCCACACACACACACACGCACATACTCGTATATAGGATTGTACTTGTGTTTGTGTGCCAACAACTGCTGCCACAAACATGCGAGGCCAGCATGTAAATCTGAAAACGGTTTATGGTTTCGGCCGAAATCCCAAGTTCTCGAGTGCTGAGCGGCATTTTGATGGATAACTTGTGGCCTGTTTTTGTGGGGCGTGAGCAAATACAGAAGCTGCGAACTCTTGCAGAACAGAATAATAAATATTTTGGATATTGCTTTGTAAGGCGTGTCTAAATGGAGCCTGAAAGTATGCAGCTAAATGTTTTATAGAGGACAATGCAAGTCAAAGTTAACTCTTTTTGGGAGAAACAGATTTACAGGAACACCTTCCTGGGAACACAGATCATTAGCCTATATAGACTTTGATTAATGTGGAGTTCGGTTCTTTTTGTGTGGCATTGGGTTTCATAAAGACAGTTTATTTGACTTTAAGGCTCTCACTTCATCCCTCCACAAATTGCAGAAGAGGGCATTTTTTGAAGTTGATAAATAGCGTTTCTTTGTGTGTACAACATATTCGTATAATTTTTGGCTGAGATTTGAATAAGGCCGAAGGTTCGGGGCGACTGGCGATAATGGAGCGTATTGGCCTGCATCCTGAATGTGTGAGTGTGTGAGTGTGTGAGTATGAGTGTATAAATGTGTGCGGGGGGCAGAGTGGATTTGCGTGTACAAGGACTCGCACAAGAGTGTGTGTGTGTTCGGATGTTCGGCAGTGTAGCGCTTTTTATGGTATTTAAGATTGAACGGAATTTATTGCTGACACCCTAATAAAATTAACATTGAAATGGCAATTTGAGGCGGCAATAAGAATCAGCAGCAGCAGAAGTACGTAGATGCCCGGCATCAGTATCAAAATTGTGGAAGGGAAAGTCGGAGAAAGTTGTCAGAAGAGACGGGCACACACACGCATATCTAATCAATTTATCGTTCAATAATAGTCAAGCCAGTGGATATATGGGACGATTATGGGGGGATGTGCCTTAGCAGCCACTTTGACAAATCGCTAAGCGCGAAAAAAGCGAACGGATGGGTGGTGAAAAATTAAAGCCCGGCCGTCAAAGTGATTCCGAACTTTGTGGCAGGGTATCAGCATTTCTAGCAGCGCGGATTTCCCGCGGAAAGCGGTCTGAAACACATTTATTTCCCCCAAAAGCAACCGCATCCTGTGGCCGTGGCTTTCGCCACTCCTCACTCGCCTTGGGTGTCGCACGCTAAATAAATTGAAATGACTCCGTAATTGTATTTGCGACTCTGGCCAAATTAATCTAACTAGTTCGCATGCCGGCGCAGCGCTCGTGTGGAACCAATGGCAATAGCAAAAACAAGTACAACCGAGGAGCGAACAAAGCGCCGTAAAACCAAAAGCTTGTTTTTCAATTGAACCCACCCAAAACACCCAAACACCCAAAGCAGCAGAACACCCAAAGTGGCCAAAGTGGACAGAGTGGATGTTCTGGGCAGCCGGCGGTGGATATTCGGTGGGGTGGCAAATTGCTTTGTGTGAAAACCCTCGAAATCCGAATGGACATGTCGATGGTCATGTCCCGCAGTTGTGTCCCTTTAATTGACCATTGAATGGCAATTAAGGCCGGAGCTATTTTTGGGTTCACGCTAGCTTACTAGCTGGGTGCATTAGCTTAGTCCCCCTTTCCCCCTCGAATTAGCCGCATTAATAAGGGGTAAAGCTGGAAATATGTTTGCTTTGTTGTACCCACAACACAAATTCCAACAACTTTTATTTATGGGTATGTTATTAATGTATGCATTAAAGTAATTATTGAAATTGTACATTCACTAATGACAGAAAAAAGAAACACACAATCACACCTAATAAAGAAAACTATAAATAAAAATAACATAACACAACAAAAAAGTATGGAATTGTAGTTATATTCCATATGTTTTTCTTTCTAACACAATAATCATTTTTTTAAATCTTTATTTGATTTAATTAGGTTACAATTGAAATCATTAATTATTTAAGTAAATGTTTCCCCAGTGAAATACATCTGCAGAGTCAGTTTGGAAAGACAAGAATTTAAATTGAGAGAGCTGCGCTATTTCAAATTAAAGTTTCATGCCACGGATTCCGAGCAAGTACCTCTAAGAGTTTTCAGCCTCCGTTTGGCTCTAATAACTCTGTGTGGCCTCTGCTGCAAGGAGTCAAGGCTTTAACTCCTTTGTCCGTTCTGTCCGACTTCACTTATTTATGCCACTATACCCGACTGAAATGCTTTCCCCATTCCAACTGAATACTGGTTACTGTAGCTGCCACCGTTTGTCTCACTGTCTGTCAGTCGAATTGTTTGTTTGTTTGTTTGCCCGCAATAAGAAAAGGCAATGGCTAAACGCTCAAACAATGGTCTGAGAACAGGGAAAACAGCTGTGTGCAGATTAATAGTCACCAAAAGCCAATAAAGTAAAAATCTAGAAAGGCTACATTTTTTTCACATGAAGAATATCATTTGAAGTATCAAAATTTGCATGAAAGGAATTAATACTTTTTATTACTTTGAATTTTTACCAAGAAATACTATTAAATCGAGCACAACTGTAACTTCATGTAAGTATAAATACAATTGCGTATGGGTGGGTCGTTCAACTAATGTTTTTCTAAAGCTAGAATTCTTTATCTGGCGGGGGAATGTGCCCGATGTTTTGAACTCGCTCAAGTTGCTCATACGCCCCGTTGGCCAGCCACCCGCTCCTGTTTGCCCCTGATGAATGTAATTGTAACTGTATATTCCTCCCAGGAGCTTGTTGCTGTGAGGAACCCGCCGAAGTCCCGGCATTGATAAGCCATTGGCCGGGAAGGCGTTTTATCGCCGTGCCTTCACTGGAGAGCGGTGAAAGATGGAGAAGACTGGCCACGGACTTTGGCATCCCCATCGAACTCTAAATAGCCATCGCCATCGCCGCGAGCCGGGAAACTCTGCAGCTGCTGTCGCCATGCTCCCTGTTCTGGCCATACTGTCTGAGCTCTTGTTTGTCGGTTTGTTGGCTTGTCTGTTTGCTCGCCATGGGAATTCATACAGCACACATTCAGCGGACCGTCGGTGGGTCATATAGCACAGATAGCACTGGCTATTGTTTTACGATTTCATGTATACTGTAAATAGAGCAGAAGAATGGCCAATCTGGGCTCACCACCTCGAAATACTCTTTTCTGGATTGAGCAACAAATTGTTTAAATGTTTCGAGGGATCTTCGTTAGGCAAACTGTTGTAATTTTTACCTTCGGTTATAATTGTTTATCTACATAATG